CGCTGAGATCCTGCGACCTAGTATGATGGTCCATTTTAGGTAGATCTTGTAATTCTAGGCGCTTTCTACTATAGGCCAAAGCTAATAGATCTCCAACCCAGGAGAAAGTATATCTATCAAGAGCAGACACGGAATACATGGCGTCGACGGGTTGCTTATCTCTAGTCACATGTGGACGACGTGGAAATGAGATGGCGGAGATGGCGGCAAACAGTGCGAGTGCTAATTGAGTGATGCGGAGCCAGAAAGTCGCACTTGAACGGAAGTCAACCTGGGCGGACTGATCCTCCACGATAAGACCATCTTGATAGAGACAAATGGAAAAGAGGCAGACAGCGGAGACACCTGTGCGAGCACCATTGGTATATGCTTTGGTAGGGCTTCTGATTAAGATAGTGCTAACCGCCTGGATCAGAATGAATGACTATGGCCAAGTTAGCAGAATGAAACACGTATATGTTGCCCAAGGGCGTGAAAGATGCGACTTGCCCAGAATGCGACATTGAGCCAATCTTCAAGCTTCAATCCATCGTAATGAAAGAGATCCAAAATGGCCAGAATTATAGAAGTTGCAAAACCGAGAAGTGTAGAGATGATGAGTAATGTCTTTGGAATTTTTGTTGAGAAGGCCGCGATTGTTTCTTCGGTGGCAACTCCATCTTTGTCTGAATATGCATTGGGGATTTGCTTTCCCTTTTCTTGAAAATGAGAAATGATAGAAAAGACGGATGGGAAAGTCAGAGTGACGACCAAGAGAAGAGCGCAAATTGCAGCGGCAAGGGAACCCGAATTATACTCGAGCATCTTGAAGAGTCTAGTTTAAGGAGAAGAGAGAGATCAAGTTGCAGATCATTCTTTTTGGGAAGATATCTCTACTTGACTGTAATGGACGAATGGAAGCAAAAGGAAAAGGTTTCCCCCAAAAGATTCACACTTTTTCTCTTCTTTGCGTGTGGATGAAGATATATATTGAGCAAGGTCCAATTGCAAGTGGAAAGCAACGGCAGGCTCAGCAAAAACTCAGGAGGTGACTAGGGAGGTAGGATTGTTGACTCATTCGGCAAGATGAATTGGTAGTAGTGTAGTTAAGTGTAGTACCAATTTAGAAAGAGAGAAGAAAAAAAAGGAAAAAGATATACGATATGTGATGGATGGTAGGTATACTAGTGAATCAGGGAGAGAATGATTATTAATAAGTAAAGATGGAGTGGGCAAGGTAGGATGTGTGTAAAATGGGAGATGGGCGGATTTGATTGGCTGGTTGATTGATTGATGAATATCTATCTAGATAGGTAGGTAGGTAGGTAGATACCCAAGTAGAAAAGATAGAAAAGAAGACTTTTATATTCAGATAACTAGTTATTAATAAATTCCCAGGAAACTACAAACTACAGAAAATGGCGGGGACAAGAACAGGGTCGAGGTTTATTAAACATTTTTTTCCTCTTCTTCTTCTCTTTCTATCGAGGGATCAATCATCAATGTTGGTAGGTGGTGGGGTTTGGGTGGATTTGAAGGTACGTGAGTGGGTGGATAAGAAGAAGGAGTCAAATCCATTTGGAAGATGATGATTAACTAATAATAATAATATAATCATGCTCAAGTATATCCTTGTAATAAGTCTTACAAAACCGTTGAAAGGGAAGAGAAGGGAAGATTAATCAATTGGGCAATGTGAGTGGTCAGTTACCTAGCAAGTGAATTGATGAGAGATGAGATAGAGTTTATATGCGCGCGGTTGATATCGACGACGATGAGTGTTTTTGAATTGAGTGAAGGTGATGTGAGGTGAGAAGCAAGAACAAAAGAAGTGATAAAGTGCTAATAACTATGCATTCTCCCCCATATTAACGTTAACAAGAAGTACATGAGGATTATAGACATTCAATGATACCTACCTAGTTCCTACGTACTACCTGCTACGTACTACCTACCACCCACCTACCTACGATACCTACTATAATGAATGATATGACGAAAGGTAAACGAGATAAGATGTCATATATTGCCGAGTAGAGTACAAATACAGCGGAACATATCGTATATAAATTCCCCACAAACTCCCCTTCTTTACCTGACTCTCGTCAATGTCTTGAAAATAGATGGTTTGGTACTTCCCTCATACTCATCTATTTCTTCTCCCTCCCATGATTCTGAGCCACATTCCCGCTGTAAGATCTTAAAGTTACAAATCCCAAAAGTGGTGGCGAATCATACTCCTCATCTATCCCATCCATCATTCATCCATCTATCTAATGTATGGACTAAAGGTCGGTCGGTCGCTAGGTCAGTCATATCAACATCAAATCAAGGGTTATCACTCGCCCCCACCATGCATCCGGATCGTTGGGTCCACCATGTGGCCAATATATATATATGCACGAAATTTAGCCCTCAAGATGGAAGGTTGTGAGTCGTGGTTTTCGGGATGCCTCGTTTGATGAATGTGTCTGTGTATCACATCATACGCCATAGCATGCCATGAAACAAAATTACTGTTGAGTGCGACTGGTGGTTCTGCACGGTACCGGTAATGAGTGTCTCCAACCCTTCACAAGTTCATATCGAGGAAACCCCGATATCTTACCTATCACCAAGGTTGACTGACTCTGTTTGAAGAGTACATAGAATCCGTCAAGCTAGCCATGCGCTACAGTAATAATACGAGGAACCACATCCAAATGCGAAACGGCTGTTCGTCCTTCCTTTTCAAGCTGACCGAGAGCGGTGTGAATGATCAGGCCGTGTACAGATTTTCAAGACTTGCAATGCATGGTCCTGGGATGGGGATGGGGTTGGGTTGTCAGCAAGAAAAGACTGATGAGGTAGAGAAGGTTGGTAAGCATTTAATTCTCCAATGATGATCGAGGAGAATGATGATTTAGATGGGCTTTACCTGATTCTTACCTTGCTATCGTTTTTCTCTTGGTTGATCGTCGGGTTTTCATCGACATAGATATATAAGAGATGTACGGAGAATACTAGACCTTGTTACTATAGTGTAACCCACGGTCTCTGTTTCTGTTTCTCTTTTTGTTCCTCTTTCTCTCTCTCTATCATCGCTTAATCTTCAGAAATTCCAATGCGCTCCCTGTACGGGACATGAGACCTCCACACCTCCTACACCGATGATCGATAAAACACGACGAAACAAAATCTGGTCCCAGGCCAGACCGACAAGTAAAATATTCCCCACGATATACGATAGATATACATGGTACCCGTCACCCATCCACTCTGAAAAAGAAGCTTTGGGAGATGCATCGGGAACAATGCTTAATTCATCACCGGACTCAGGGCGGGTGTCAAAACCGGAACCGATTGATCGTGCCGACTCGCTCGAGTTATCTCCATCGACCTTCACTCAAGTACATTAGTTTGACTGCAGTTGTTGTACTGCCAGTTGGAATATGTAAGGCTCACTTGTTGAAGTTTCAGACTGATTCTCCATGACGTCTTGGGACCGATGAAGAAAGTTGAATTGCGAAGTATAGTCCGTATGTGACCTGGATCAGGTACAGGTACAGGTACGAAGAAAGGCACAAACTACTAGGTATCTGTACCCGAGTGTAATAGGGAGGGTAGGAAGACCGATTCACGTGGTGAGAATTCTATCACATGATGATCTATTCATCTATGCATTCATCTATGCATTCATCCATCCATCCATCCATCCATCCATCCACCAGTAAATCCATCCATCTGATTATCCATCAATACGTACTCGTGATGTATTTCCTAATAAGGTTCTCATGTATTGAATGTAAATCCCAAGCACCCCTTGAATAGACGGCTGGGAGGAAATATATGATGTATACATCGTATTATATCGTACATAGATTTATTATCAGATGTGACATGGACATTCTCAGAACACTGGCTCGGCTGGCTCAAGACTCTCGTTTGGCGGCCGTTGATCGTGTAACCGATCAAGATCAACAATATGGAGAATGAAGGGGTTTGTTTGGGCTGGCGTGGGTAAGGTAACTTGGGGACCTCCAAGGTCTGGACAAGCTCTAAACAACGAATGCTTCATTATATATTGTATCGGTCGATGGAGAGGAAGAATTGACTAAGAAGGGAGGGAGGGAGAAATAGTCAGAATTCAAGGAGGATGTTTTAATCCATATATGTATATATATGAATGAAGTAGGTAGGTACTGGGTAGATAGATTCCTGAGTAGGGAATTATTGATATATATTCAATGAAATGTGATTTCTAAATATATATTGGTAAATTCATGTCTCTTTTATTTACTTATTTATTTATTTACTTCCTCTCTTACCTACTTCTTCCATCTTCTCTCATAAATACACACACAGAGAGAGTCATCATTGGGTATTGAATTAACATCCAAAAACCCCATGAAACGCGTAAAACTTATTGGACGCACAAAAACGTGAAGGAAAACAAGGTTGCCCAGCCCAGCCCAGCCCAGCCCAGTCCAATACCATCCATAACTTTGCTATCTTGGCTGTGAGACTTTGAGTACTACCAGGTACTGTACAACCTTATGAGACATCTACCTCTACCACGGCTGCTATTATTATTCTTCTTCTTCTCCTCCTCAAACATTCAATTGATCATTCTCTGTCTTGGTCTTTGTACTGAATTCACTGGATTTGATGTTGATTTTACTCTCAATTACAAGGCCATTTCAACAACAATATCTTCCGTCCTCTTTGAAGACGGACATAGCTAATCTTTGGGTCCCTTTCTTATCTGCAACTCCAGAGGATGATTAAAGTTTCTATCGTGCTGCAATTCAAAACCACGACCCCAGTACCAGTACCAGCACCAGCAATCCTACTTGACACCCTTTTCCGGATCTTTCAAACGCTTCCATCACATCATTCTTCTATATCGATCTAATTTCACCTCTTTCCCATACTCTGCAAGCAGGAGGATTGCGAATTGAACTACGAAAGAGTCCTGTTCATCCCTCGGACAAACACTCATCCCAAGACCCTAATTATCGACCTCGAGAACCACCGGCACAATGAAAGCTACACCTTTGATCATCAACTGGCATGATCAGAATTCTCCCATATATAGTTGCGATTGGGAAAAGGCGGGGAAGGGAAGATTGGCGACTGCAGGAGGAGATGGAAATGTTAGGGTACGTTCGATCTATCCGTATGGGAAATGTGAAGAAAGTACTGATGGGAAAACAGTTATGGAAGATAGAGTCCGAAGGGGAAGATCGCAAGATTGACTATCTAGCTACTCTACAAAAGCATACACAAGCAGTCAATGTAGTAAGATGGGCCCCGAAAGGTATGAAGGCATAATTTTTACACATCAACGTGGAATATAATGAGGCTAATCAATCTTGTAGGGGAATTACTAGCATCTGCTGGAGACGACGGAAATGTACTACTTTGGGTCCCTAGCGAAGCTTCAAATATTACACCTGCATTCGGAGGAGATGGATTCGAAGAAAAGGAAACCTGGCGGACAAAACATATGTGTCGATCGTCGGGTGCTGAGATATACGATTTGGCTTGGTCCCCAGATTCCGTGTACTTCATAATTGGGAGTATGGATAATGTTGCGAGGATATACAATGCTCAAACTGGTATGTGATTCATACTTTTGTCCTTCCACGGAGACTAATCAATTTTGTTCAGGTCAATTAATTAGACAAATCGCTGAACATCAACATTATGTTCAAGGTGTTGCTTGGGATCCATTGAATGAATATATCGCGACACAATCATCCGATCGATCCGTACACATCTATACCCTGAGAACGAAAGACGGACAATTTAGTCTCGACAATAGGGAAGAACCAAAAAGGATTGGACATAATTTGAAGATGGATTTACCCGGGAGACGAATTTCCTCCAATAGTCCCGCACCACCCGAGCTTGGATTTCGTTCACAATTTCCACCAGAAACCCCAAATACAATAGGTTCACCAGGACCATCATGTCCAGGTACACCAACTTCGATGGCTTTGCCAATGAATCCTCCCAGTGTTATTAGTCATAGTAGAAGATCTTCATTCGGTGCTTCTTCTCCAGCAATGTCTATGCGAAGATCGGCCTCTCCTGCTCCTTCAATGCCATTACCCGCTGTTATGCCTATGGAAGCATCACCAAAACCATATTCGATGATTGGACTGGGAGTCAAGAATGCTCATATCTACGCCAATGAAACCCTCAAGTCATTTTTCCGAAGACTTGCATTCACACCTGATGGTAGTCTTCTTTTTACACCAGCCGGTCAATATCAAACACAACACAAGGGATCAGAAGAGGGTGCAAAGATGTTGTATGAAGTGATTAATACAGTCTACATCTATACAAGAGGTGGAATCAACAAACCTCCCGTTGCACATTTACCGGGACACAAGAAACCTTCTGTGGCTGTCAAATGCTCTCCAGTTTACTATACAACTAGAAAAGCTCCCCCACCAATTACAAAATATATCACAATCGATACATCGTGCGCTGATGACACAATGGCAGCATTGCCAGAACCTGCAATGGTTCCCAAATCGCCATCGAATGCTTCAATGGAACCACCTCCACTTGTATCACAAAATAGTGATTCCTCGAGACCTAGTTCTTCATCTAAACCAAAATCTTTAGAGGTTGAAACGAACGTAACATCTCAAGGTCCAACAATGGCATTTTCTTTACCCTATCGTATGGTTTATGCTGTTGCCACAGAGGATTCAGTTTTATTGTATGACACACAACAACAAACCCCGCTTTGCATAGTGAGCAATTTACACTGTGCAACCTTTACAGATTTATCATGGTATGTTAATTCGAATCGATAGATTTTGGTCTATACTGATTATTTTAGGTCAACTGATGGAACTACGTTATTGATGACATCTTCGGATGGTTTCTGTTCAACATTAACTTTTGCCCCGGGTGAACTCGGACAAATTTATGATGAAGAAATACCCACTGCAAAGCGTTCATATATTAGTGGTTCAGCAGTTTCGTCAACTCAAAATACTCCCATGGCAACACCAACGGCTGGGATCGCACCTCCATCACCATTTCCAATTTCCAATAATCATCATCGGACATCCTCAAATCCTATGGTTGCGCCATCACCTCCCCCAGCTCCTATCACAACTTTCAGACCTTCTTCGCCTACTCGGTCGAATTCTACATCTTCAGTTGCAACACAGTCATCTCATGTAACATCAGCTATGGGGACAATTATCAGTAACCCAACTCCATTGTCGAGTAGCGTTCCAGGTATTGCTGCGGCAAATACCACTTCAGGAGTCCCTATGACAACACCCCCTCAAACCCCAAGAAGCACTACAGGCTCGGTAGTGGGTGTCAAACGTCCGGGAGATGTAAGTGAGAGTGAGAAAGAAGACACAGGAGCTGGACCTGAAAAGAAGAAGAGAAGAATTGCTCCTACTCAAGTTTTGTCGACAAATCCTGCAACTGGCAAATAGTGATCTGGATGTTGTTCAGGGAAATGTTCTTTTTCGATTGATTCGAGACTTGATTTGGTCTTGTGGGATTTGATGTTTTTCGGTGTTCAAAGGCTCAGGGGTGTGTGGTTTGGTGTTTAATGACCTAGGGAGGAGTTACAATGGAAGGAAAGGAAAGGAAAGGAAATATATGATGCCCTTGTACCTTTTACATGGGATGAATTAGGATGGTGTCTTTAGTGGGCATGAATGAATATAATGATTTTTATTTCTATGTTGACTTTTATGTAATATTTTTGTCATTCTTTGGCTGGAATCTGTTTGAGGGTTCATCTGATTTTATTTATGAGAAAGATGTGAATGATTTGTAATGTTAATGGAATGAAGATTATTTGGACGAATCAAGGAAGGAAAGGGGGGATGGGGGAGTGAGAGTGTACTTATCCGATCCATCAATTCGGAGAATGCGCATCGTGTTTTGGGCGAGGAAAAAGTGACTGATAGGTAGGTAGGTACTTAGGGAAGGGGGTAGGCAAGGAGGTATCGAATCCTACCTGCCTTTTTGGGGATCGATGTAGACTAATTTGGGGAATTTTAGGAGTTGGTTTCTTCTTCTTCTTCTTTTTCTTCTTCTCGTCATTTACTTTCTACCACGACTCGATTCTCGAGAGGGAAAGGGAGTCAATTTTGTAATTTTTTTGTTTCCTTTGGTCTTTTCACGAGTTATTTGTGTGTGTGTGTGTGTGCTGAGATCAATGAATTAGTTGCTTTGCTTGCTGGTTTGTTTGTTGGTTTGGTGCTTGCTGGAGACTTTACTTTGGAAGTTGGTTGTTTGGAACTTGTTTGCTTGGTGTTTGTACCTACGTCCTACCTACCTGCCTGCCTACCTGCCTGCCTACCTGCCTGCCTACCTGCCTGCCTGTGTTTTCTGGCTTCTCGGTTCTCGTGTAGAACGAAAAAGCCACCAAACATAGGAATACCGTTCCACCATACCAACACCAACACCCAAACCCACAACCATGCACCCCCTCTCCACCATCCTCTCTCTCCTCCTCCTCTCCTCCCAACCTCTCACCCTCGCATCTCCCACACCCCCTCCCCCAACCTCTCTCTCTCTGCTTCCCCTCCTCGACACCCTCATAAACATCACCCTCACCGCCTCAACACTCAATTCCGCTCCTCCGACTGCTTTCACAACAACCACACATTCTGCAGAATGTGCAGATGTGAATCAGGGAGCGCTGGTATGCTGTCCGAGTATTCTGGATGGGGATCAACCGCTTGTAGTGACGGCGGCCAGGATGTTTGGGTTTGTGTTGAATGAGAATAGTGTTAATGGGATTGGGTGTGAGTTTATTGATTTTTGGGGAGTGAGAGAGAGAGTGTGTGTGTGTGCTAATATGGGAATTTCAGGTAGGAATCTAGATGATGGGGCGTTTTGTCCGGTGCTGGAACATAGACTTTGTTGTCAAGTTACGGATTTGGTATGTTTTTGTTTTGATTTGAATTTTCCTCCCCTATTAAATCTGCTACTGGATTGACGGATTTATGTTGTGGGTTTGTTGAGATGAGAGATGAGAATACTGATGATTATAATTTGTGGATGGTTTTACCACTTGTTAGTTTGGCAATGTGGTGTCATAGTGCCGGGAAACTCTGATTTGTTGAATTCATCTTGGTGTGGGAATGGAAGCCGAATGAATGATATAAGTAATGTGAATGAAACGGGATCGATTGATAGAATGTGGTGAGGTGACATGAGACGGAAAAGTCGGAGAAGAATTTTGATGAACAATTGCTTGAGCAAATGATTTGCAGGTGGGCATATTGCTATGGGTTTTGCTACTTTTGCTTCGGATACTCAGACAAAAACACCTTATGGGGCTTGTATTGTGGAAGGGCACTAGATTAATTGCTGAAGACTTGCTACGATCTGTTTATGATAGATTATCAAATGAAAAAGGTTTCAATTCAACTTAAAAGATGATTCTCCCAATGGCTTACCTCATTGGCTTCATCTCAACTCTTGCGTCTATTGCCTCCACCAGTCGGTGTACTGAGTCATGAGACAAAATCGGCTTGACAATATCTTTCGACCCCTTAATTCAATATTTGTTAGAGAGTTGTTATGAGGATTCATCGAAGGTTGAATTCGTTACGAAACCTGAAAGTTGAAAAGTATCCTGTCAGTTCGCACACCTACAGGCTACATATGCCTTTCTCAGAAAAAATAGAATATATCAATGACCAAACGGAAAAAGGAGAGCAGGAGACTGAAAAGGAGCTAAAAATAATGGAGGGTACCTATCCAGACAGAAGAAATCAGAAAGTAAGCCATACAAAGAATACTGCTTAATTACAGTGACCATAGGGCGAATAGATACTTGACTTGAAGCAGTCCAGGTAATGGGACAGACAGTATTCAGCAAAATACTGGTAAGAGATCCATGAGATTATCGAGTTGGAGAAAGAGGGTAACAAAGTGGACGCAAGATCACTAGGTATTATCTATAAGCACTGCTATCAACGCCAATACTGAATCATCTCGCAAGGCCGGAGGTCGCTTTGGATTTGAAAGGACCGCTGGCTGATACGTCTTCTATGGGATGGATATGGATATCGGTATATTCTGAGAGGAATAGAGGAATAGGCTTTATCACATGAATATAGATAGCGATTATGGTGAACCTTAAGCGAGGAAATTGGATGAATGAAAGTTGTTTGGTGGATGGAGATGGACTAGGAGAATGTAAATGCTTTGTTTACTATTAGAAGATTATAAAGACTGGGCATTGCCGTTAAAATCTGCAATTAAACGATTTCAGGAAAACGTTTCTCTCAGTTAGAGATTGGAAGGAAGGGTTGGAAATGGTGTTTATTGGAGGTTTGGAGGTTTGGAGATGAGAGATTATAGATTGAAATTGGAAGATTTATTCAGCGGATGCGGATTGACTATGGGAATGCAGATATTCTGTTACCAGACGAGTATAAAGACTAAGTAGGCGAGCGTTGTGATTGAAAACTTCAATCAAACTTCTCTCAACTAAAGATCAAAAAAAATTCATGTAGTATTGATTGGAGGTTGCGAAATAAGAGACTATACATTGAACACTAAGGTTGATGAGGCTAGGAAAGCGAGGGATGAGGGTACGATTGAAAGGGGATTAAATAGAAAGAAAGATGAAAGTAGATGATCAAAGATAACTGAGATTTGACAGTGGAAAAGAAGCGAGCCGGAAGGGAATTGCGAGTTTCTAAAATCTTGATGAGGAAAGAAAGAAAGAAAGAAAGAAAGAAAGGATTGAGGATGTGGGTAGTATTAGTATTAGTATTATACAATATCGAGACTCGACTCTTGAATGGGTGAGATATCTTGGGGTTTATGTGGGATGGGATGGGATGGGATGAGATGGGAGAGGAGGCTCCTAAGTGATGGATCTCTTTTGATGATTGATATGAAGATTGTAAATTAAGATATCTATGAATAGAGATTAGGTGGTAAATAGGTATCTAGCTAGAATAATGACTTTTCGTAGAATGATAGGTTTCTAATGTTCCTTTTACTTTAAACTTCTTTTATATCTTGGGGTTGTGTATGTGTGCTTTGTGAATGGGAAATTGATTACTTTATGAAACTTCTTATAAATTTTATATTGAAAAGTAAATTATTTCTACTCCTTTTCTTTGATATCATAATTTATATTTTTTTCCCCAAATATAATGACTCTCTACTTGATTAAATAAAAAATAGTCATAAAAATTTCGAGTCTACATCCCAGGTATTCTCTTTCAGAACCTTAGAATCTAGAAAAGGGGCATAAGTGTGTACCTACGCATACCTAGGTAGGTAAACAAACAACACCCTCGCACCACTCCACTTTATTCCCCAACAATCCCCTAATTCCCCTCAACCACCCATTCAAAATCTTCTACAATCTTTTCGCTCATCTCCTCGGATATCTGCTGCGTCATCGCAAGATGCATACCGTGTTCGCGCTGGGCTAGGAGAATTCTGCCCTGTGTTCCTTGGTGCGTGGATGTGCTAAGGGTTTTGTAGAGGCCGAGGGCGGGGTAGGAGACGAGTCCGAAGATGCCTGGTGGGGTGGGGGTTAGCGGATTAGGGTTGGAGATATGACGAGTTTTTTTGTTTTTGAATGTGGGAAGAGAGAGAGAGGGAGATAATGTCTAGAGTATACATGAAGTAGAATGAATTAAAATGATCAAGCATACCACTAGCAGGTTTGGTGAGAAATCCCGCCGTTCCTTTCCCAATACCCTTCAGGAATCCCTTTCCGCCTTCTTGTATGGCTCCTTGGATGGGTTGTGTGAAGAATCCTGTGAAGCCGTCTACGATTCCAAAGCCCATACTCTTTATTATTTGTATACATGGTTAGCTTGTTGTATCTTCGTCATGAATTTGCATATCTCATCCAAAGAAGGAATGAAAAGGAATAAAAAGAAAAGGAAAGCAACAAACCTTAGCCCCTTTGATTGACCCACTCTTCCAATCTCTCACCTGTCCATAATCCCTCGGTTTATCCCCATACAGCGCTGGCAACTCATGAAAGCCATCCGCAAACGCGAGGGGTAAATCGATCGCCGATTTACTCATCGCCATGCCTAACTTCCCGAACCCTTTTCCGACCGCGATGGAGCTTGCTTGCAGAGCACTGCGCGGTGAGGCGGGATCGGTGTTGGTGTTGGTGTCGATGCCTTTGCCGGTTTCATTTTGATTTTTGCGGGGTGATCGGGTTAGAGCGCGCGTGTATTCGGTGCGGTAGTCGAGTCCGATGTTGGCCATGGCGCGGGTGATGTCGAGGGCGCTGTCAAAGGCGGCAGAGGTGGTGGCAGTCCAGGGGTCCCAGCGGCGGTTGGTGATGGTTATGGGGTGGGGTTTGTGTCTTTGTCGTGGGGCATTGAGTAAGTATGAAGATTGCATGAACGAATAAATGAATAGGCAGATGAACACATGTCTAGAGGAGGTGAACTTACAAGGAAAGATCAGAGGCGTTAATTTTTTTCTTCTCGACGAGAACGGCAGCTGCTTGGTGAGATAAGTTGAGATGCTTTTTACCCTTTTTCCAATACCATGTTGCGGGTTGTTGAGTCAAGAGCGCACAACTAAGTGGTTTGATGGGGAGATTACGATGAAACGAATTAACAGCTTCTTTTACACCATCTTCGTGTTGGATTCTTGTAGCGAGGGTTTGTGCTGCGGTTACTACATTGGGGGAGAGTAGAAATTTGATGGCATTGGAAAGAGTGGTGGTGTTAAGAGATTTGTGTTCTATAGGTGCAGGACCGGCACCGGCTGCTGCGACCATGTTTCCCCAGAATGGTTGGCTGTTGAAAGTTAGTGGAGGAATTTTACGAATGAGATTTCTTGACATACTCGCCGAAGAATGGTACGATTGCCGTAGGACGACCATTCAGTAATCCACATGCTGTTGTTCCCGCTCCACCATGATGGATGACGGCTGAAACGTGTTTAAATAGCCATTCTATCGACATTAGTCAATAGTAAGATCATCATATTAATGCATCTCTTACCATGAGGACAATCATCAATAAACAAAACATTCTCATTCTCGACCTCCTGTCCAAGTTTACTCCAACCTTTCGATACAATTGCTCTGACACCACAATTTTGAACTGCAGCCATAATCGTCGCGGTCATGACTTTAGAATCTTCCATTACGATGCTTCCAAATCCTATGTAAATGGGTCTTGGGCCTGCTTCCAGAAAGCCCAAAATCCTCGCGTCGGGATCATATGATGGGGGCGGGCGAAAGAAAAATCCACAAACATCTAAGAGCTTTATCAGTACTAGAATTTGGAAAAAACGGAATCTACGAACCTATATGTGGGGGCCAATCTTGTGGTTTCGGTACAAGTGCTGGCGACCAACAGTACGTGAATGGGATATCGAGAGAAGCTGCTAGATGAGGACCAGCCATCACAGGGACCGGTTCAAGATCAAGGGACTTCTTTCTCCAGTGATTAATAACGTCTCCAAGTCTACAACTAAGTGATTAGAGATTGTCAGATGAAGAATATCAATTGGAAACATACCCTTGCCAAGTCATCGTGTCAACCAATCCATAAGAAAGAAAATTCGTTGTTTTAGGATCTGTTTCGGTAGATTGGATATTTGCAAGCGGATGACGAAATGATCTTGTGGCTGTCCATGGCATAGTAAACATAAGATGAACTGGAATACCCAATGCCTGAGCACAATGTATGTGAGCAAAACTAGGTGGATTAGCAATAATTGCTTCGGCAATAAATGGTACTCCAGTCTTAGAATCAGGTTCGATACAGGATCGCCAACATCCCTCGAGCATGGCGGATATCATTTTTCTTTTCTTGGATATTTCTCCACTGGCTAAGGTGCTTATTTTTGGAAAGATTCCTGGGTTTTTGACCATGTACTAAATGGGATGGTCATAAGTATGTATGTTAGGGAATGCGAACAAAGTATACACTTACTGCCATTAATTCCGTTGGATCGCCACCAATTGCATAGAATTCTATTCCGGCATCTCGTACGAATTTTTCAAATACATCATGAGTAGCAATACGCACCCTATGACCTGCGAGTTGAAGTTCATTGCCTAAGGCTATGAAAGGTTGAACATCACCTGGAACAACTGATCAGTGATGAAGTTCAAGAGATTTACGTCGATATTGAGAGATTGGGAATATATATACCTCGACTTCCAACCACCTGAATGACTATATTAAGCCTTGGATACGATTTCACGGGCTCTGATTTTACTTGCGGTACATTCTTGGGTAAATAGATTGGTGGTAATGGTGAGGTATTACCCACAAATGCCATACTAATTCGTCCATTGTCTAGTGGTATCAATAAAATTCCTTGATCGGACTGTCAATAGGGTTCATTACCTTGGACTGAAGTAGAGACACCAGACTCTTCGTTACCGAACGCGTACAATTCCTCGTAGGGAGGAGGAGCATCCCAATTGATACTCCCACTCCTCCTTGGCTGTGGTTCAGGAATGCCCATGATATCCGGGAATCAAGATAGAGAATGGCAAGAAAGTTTCACGTACAAGTAAGATGTGGTATAAAGGAAAAGAATGAATTGGAAGGAGAACGTTATGAGGGAGATTTGTAAACCTTTCCACTGATCTAGGCAAACTATACTTGACTAGACCATGACTATCGAAAGAGTACCTACCTAAGGATATAGAGGCAGTGCATCAATGCCGTATTGAGCGTATTTGCTCCCAGCGAAGGATGCCAATGCATCTCTGACCTTTTTCTTCATGCTTGAATATGCTGTGTGCTGTGTATTTAACGTTCTAGATTGGACGTTGGGGTGAAACTGGTTTAAGCTTTTTCTATACGCGTATTTCGCACTCGCATTCAGATATCGGACATCGGACTCGGAATCATGCGCATCCCCTCACGTGACTGAAAAGTCCAGCAGAAATGTTGCAGAGTCATGTGCCGATCACGACTTCACATTGGCCGAGTCTTCTCATAGGATTCTGATATGGAAGAAAGAGAGAGAGATGCCATATAATGGAACCTCTCATTATATATAGCTGAACCCAAGGTCTAGAACATCGGTTAGACTTCCGCAAGACGGTTTCTGGAAGACATGGTCAACTACTATAGCTCTTGTCAACTTCAGCCCTACAGGTATAGACAGACATCTTCCAGGCTTTTCGAACCAAACACCCACGAACGACGGTGAACATTTCAGATGCCACAGTGGGGGTCTGATGCATAACTAAGACCATCACCATTGAAAAAGCCGCATCGGGCATCAGCTGTCCAGTTGATTCTTGGTAGGATCTTACCTGGAGCATCAGAGAATGTAGATTCCAATTCCGTAGAGGATATGATATAAATCAACATATTCACACTGTACCTTATATACAATTCTTCTACTCCTACTTTCAACCTCTCCTCGGATTCTGTCGCATTTCATCTCGCATCTCGTATCCTCGTATCTCGCACTATGAACGAAGCGGTATTTACCGTTACATCGGGGCAATGAAAAGTGGATTCTTCATCTCTTCTTCGCTTTTTTTCTTTCAATACGATCCCTTTAGGAAAGCTCCTTAACTTTACTTGAAGCACGTTCCAAGTTTCAATCTTGTCCTATTACTCCGTGTATTCATGATATTTTCACGATGCTGATTCGTCTATCGTAATTCAGCCCTCTCCATTCTCAAAGATTATCTACCAATAATTTTCATCTTTTTGATGCTGGCTGGACTTTTGATACTTGATTTAGCCTAGATGTGCCCAGTGGTGCTCTATTTTGGGATTCAACGGCTGTGTTCCTGGATCTTCTCAAGGGTCCCTACTAGTATCGATTTAAGTAGGAAGGAGGGTGATATGGAGAATATTATTTGCATGCGCCTCAATGGACGACGCGAATACGATTTACGATGGCCGCATTATGCAATGCACTTTCAAATTGCTGTAGCAATAGTCATTGAAAAGTTCTAGTGCTTTTTCTGAGCATTTACCATTTGAGTACATAATATGATTGTGCACCCTCTACAAACACCAATCTTTATCTTCTTCAATACTATCTTTATCTGCAAAAACATTCATTACTTCTTTTGCCTTTTCATTTGCAATCTTACGATCTTGCGATCCTGAGCGAGTGTTTGTTCTGTCATTGTCTTCTTATTTCTATTCGTGATACACTCATTAGTGCTTTACTTGTTCAGTTTTTTCGATCAATCAGCCTCGTTGAATCTTCAAAATGGCGTACGAACTTTACGCCTATAAGCCTGGCACAACCATTGCACTGGTTGTCGCTGCATTATTTGGAGCGAGTGCCACATATCATCTCATTACTATGTTCCGAAAGAAAACCTACTTTTACACAGCCATGGTAGTCGGAGGTTTCAGTAAGTCTCTAATCAAGCTTCTGCTACTTATTAATGGACGGATTCTAACCAATGAACTCAGTGATGACTGCCGGTTATGTCTTTCGATATCTGTCGGCAAAAGATACTTCTTCCATAATGCTCTATTCTTGCCAATCTCTCTTCATTATCCTTCCACCTTCTCTCTACGCAGCAACCATTTACATGATATACGGCCGGATCGTCTTATTCGTCAATGCACCATCTGCATCCGTAATCTCTCCTAAAAACGTCACTAAAGTATTCGTTGGTGGAGATGTCGTATCTTTTCTCATGCAATCTGGTGGGGGTGGTATGATGGCAATGGCCAGCATGAGTTCAACGGGCGAAAAAGTGATGATTGGCGGTCTTCTCGTACAACTTCTTTTCTTCAGTATCTTCCTCGTCATCGCCATTACTTTCGAACGTCGCATGCGCTCACATCCAAGTTTTTTCGATATCCCAGCTAACGGAAAAAAACATTGGCATAAATTGCTTATGCTTTTATTCGCAGCTGCCGTCTTGATCATTGTCAGATGTGTATACAGAGTCATTGAGTTCTCACAAGGTTCGACAGGGACACTTATGAGTCATGAGTATTATATGTATATCATGGATACAGCACTGATGTTGATTGTGCAATGTACGTTTCACTTTATACATGCAGGAGATGTTTTTCAAGATGGGGTGGATCCAAAGAAAGCGGCGTTGATGGGTGATAGCTACATTGGATTGAGCGAGGTTTAGGGAAGGAAAATGTTATATGAAAATTTAGGATGGATAAAGGATTTCATTTGTTAGTCAGGTCGAATTAGGGGCTGGAATATCTCTTCTTCATGGCAGGTATAACCCAAGGATGGGGGGAGGGCGCGCTAGAGTTTCTTTTGTCGGATACAGTACTGGAAGAGCAATCAGCTTAGCTCATTTTTGTTGGAGTTATCGGTGGTTCAACAATTGTACATATGCAGCATAGGGATACCCTATGGAACTTTAGGAGGATAGAAATATATTATTTATTCTGATCAACGCTATACCATACCTACTTTCTGTTCAAGCGCAAGATCCATCTACCATTGAGAATATTATTCACTTACGATCTCGATTTTGTCAATCACTGTGCAAGTGCAGAACAGGCGGCCTATCACGTGTATGCCATCGCTTAGCTCCCGTGTCAGGCTATTTATCCTTCTATTTTCCCATCTATTCTTCCGACGAGTGTCGTGTCAAGATTCTCTAGCTCATAGATCTATAATATAATCACCTCCCGCTAAGATTTTGACATATACCCCCATCAAGCTTTGTTCAGACAATCAACCAATTACTGGTCAACCAGGCGATTTCGTCTACGGTCAGCGTAGTAACATTGTATAACAAGACGGAATTATTGTCATCTCAGCCGAATCTTTGTTCACATGGCGGAAAATAAATGAAATTATATTAGTGTGATTAATTTTTTACCCTAGATTATGTGCGAAGCATCGAGGTGTTTCGTCGGTTCTCGACTACAGGGCGTTTTCATTGGTATGGTCAAGGGATCTAGAGTTGGCGATGCTGTTCCGATTGCAGAAAGTCGTTTGGTATCTGCATTCATATGGCCAGAAACTTGGAGCGCCAAGAAATTCCATGAGAATTTTGCGGGCAGCAATTTGGTACACATGGAGATGGCCAGGTCTATCCGGGGGTTTCGGGCAGTGATGAAGCTCGTATACAAAACCACATGGTTCAGAGCCATATTCTAATACATATATCAAGTATCTGCATTTCTCATTCTGCAGAAAGTTGTTTCCAATTCAGTCTACATACGGGAATCTTTCAACAAATCGATTTAATCATGAAGTTACAACTTATCATACCATTTTCATTTCTTCTATCGTATGTTTCTGCACATACGATATTCATGAAACTGCAATCAGGGGGCACACTTTACAGTTTGTCTCCTATTTTTTCTTTGGCAAATACCTCACTCACAGCAAATAGATACCAGCTATGCCATCCGAACCCCAACATACGACGGAGTAAGTCTTCATTCCACACCAGACAAGCATTCCTAATATCTCCAGCCCATAAACGACGTAACAACTGAATACGTCGCCTGCAATGGTGGACCCAATCCCACCACTCCTTCCTCAAATATCATAAATGTTGTTGCCGGTAGCACCGTAAACGCCATCTGGCGCCACACCCTCGATAGTACTCCTGCAAACGACGCAACATATGTTCTCGACCCATCTCATCTCGGCCCCGTCATAGCCTATATGAAAAAAGTAGACGACGCAACCACCGACGTTGGCTACGGACCTGGCTGGTTCAAAATATCCGAGCAAGGACTCAACGTAGCCACACAAAAATGGGCAACAACAGATCTCATAAACAATGCAGGCGTACAGCCTATCGCTATACCAAGTTGCATAGCCAACGGCCAATATCTCCTACGAGCAGAATTGATCGCGCTCCACTCAGCAGGAGGCAGTCTAGGCGCACAATTATACATGGAATGCGCACAAATCAACGTATCTGGCGGCACCGGAACCGCAACTCCAAGCACCGTATCCTTCCCCGGCGCGTACGGACAGAGCGATCCCGGAATCCTGATCAACATCTATCAAACGCTCACCACGTATACAATTCCCGGTCCTACGCCATTTGTCTGTGGTGCCGCGCAGAGCACGGCGAAGAGTTCGTCTACTTCTGCTGCTGCTTCCACTGCGAAACCAACGTCGTCGTCGACGCTGAGTACGAGCACGGTTACGAAAACGAGTAGTGGTGCGGTGGCGACGGGGACGGGGACCGCGGCGGTTTATGCGCAGTGTGGGGGCCAGGGGTGGACGGGTGCGACGGCTTGTGCGAGCGGGAGTAAGTGTGTTGTTAGTAGTGTTTATTATAGTAAGTTTTTCTTTTCCTTTTTTTTTTGTGGTGGGGATTGGAGAGCTGGGTTAGGGATGAGATGACTAATTTTCTGTTAGGTCAATGTTTGCCTTCGTGATGGAGAATACGGAGAATATGTCGTTGCATGTGTTAGTGACGGAGATATTGGTTTGTTGTGGGATAGTAGGAGGAGATAGATGTTGCATCTTGTGATGGAAGAATAGAAATCGAACCAATCACTTGCACTATACTTGTTCTTTCGATTAATGATCCACCCTCGTATCCGAAATACAGTAATTACGACTTTGACATATCAGAAAACCACCTAATCACTTGAATTTTTCACCCATTTCACATCCTCAATCACAAAACCCATCACCTATACCCCTCCATTCCATAGATAAAAACCAACACCCAACTTTGCAAATATCATAATCCCCACCCACCAGCAAAATCCCCCGCATTCCGGTACTTCTTCATCATGTGTAGCACCCCATACTCTTGGCATGCTTGGCATTCCTATGAATGCTTACTCTAATTTGGAGTATCGGGCTGGGAGTCCGTAAGGATGTTTACTATGTCGTTCGCTTTCGGTTTCTTGTAGTTGCGTGTTTATACTAGTTTTACAATTGTCATATATTAATTCTGTTGTTGCTCGTTTAATTTAGAGGATTGTTTGTGAGGGTGGGTTTGTTTTCTGCTTTGTATGTATAGGGTCGTGTGGTAGACGCTTCTACTTTGTTCCTTTTCTTTTACTGGGATGGGTGGTAGCGTTTGCTGATATTGCCCTCTTGAGTACTCGATCAGAGTTGAATCATATAAAATGGGAAAGGAGAAGAAGAGGCACGGTATGAAAAATGTGATTTGTAGACGGGATATGGAGAAGTTGAGGAGAAAAAATTCACAGAAAACATTTTTCTCAACTGTATGAATATAGGTAGGGAGGGAATCTGGAATCCTAGATTGTCGTTTGACTAGTTATCAATTCCTGTTGCCACCAATCCTCCTATTCTTCTATTTCCTTTCTACATGCAACGACTCCTCCATCCCAGAGAAAAGATGGCTTCAAGTAGAGACTTACCACCAATCTCATGCCGTCCACTCACTAGGCTCTCCCTATCCCAGTCGTCTGTTCCCTCCCCCAACTTCCTCCCCTCCAAACCCCACCCACGGAGTGGAAGCGACCATTACACATTCAACCGAATTAGGAAAGTGGGGTAGAACCTCAACAGCAGAGATTAAAATCTCATTGTTTTGACCGAGAAGAAAATCACGTATCTCAGACGAGATACAATATAGATTCAACTTATTTCTCAAGTGCTTCATGTGTATAGCTCGATGCATATAAAATGAGACGTGTATTCTCTTGCAATAATAAGTGCTGGCCAACATGAGCGTCTAAAATATGTAGAGTGTAGTATGTGCAAGAAACAAGTTTCTCTCCCCCTGCCTTCCCATCTTTTTCCTTCTAAATTTTCTTTCCGTTTCACTTACTCCATACAGTGAAATCGTCTAAACTATATACACATTTAGATTTCACACTCATCATCTCCGTCATCAGACGAAGTTGGAGCAGCAACAGCAGCACTGGAAACAGAGGTTTCAATACCAGCAGCCGAGCTAGCAGCTACACTGGTTGATGTTGCTACAGAGGCGGAAGCGATAGTAGATCCCTCAATAACGGGCGCTGAAGGAGTAGCTACATGGTGAGGCTTTGTGCTTGATTTTGCCGATGTAGATACAGCCGCAATGAAAGAGGTGCCGGTTGGTGCTTGTGCAGATGAAGCGGAGGTAGTAATAGCAACAGCGGATGAGCTAGTTGATGGAACGATTGCCGCAGAAGTAGAAGCGATTTGGCTTGCACTTGAAGGTGCTGAAGAAACAGCTGCTACTTTAACTGCTGCAGAGGTAGCTGTACCGAGATCGATTTGGAGACCGAGGGTAGCGTTCATGATTGCGTTTCCGTAGAAAAATTCGGTACTTTATTTTTTTTGTCAGTATGATATCATTCATCTCTAAATCCGATCAAAAAAATAGCGGTGAAATAGGTATCTGAAGAAAGATAAAAGGGAAAACTTACCCGGCATTTCCAACGTTAACATAAGTTTTCTCAGTAAAGAGACCTTGTCCCACAAGCGCAACGAACCAATCTCTCAAATAACCCTCAAATTTTCCCTCAAATTGTGTTTTCGGCAACATACTGCTGACGGTGATACCCGTATCTTCGTTAACACCCTGATACAGATCCCAGCTTGTACCAAATAAATTGTCAATGGTAGCTACGCTTCCATCAGCCCATCCAATGGGTAATTGACCACCTTGGTATTGTAACCAGAGCATGAGTTCCTGGGAAGAGCTCGATGTAGAGTCACCTTTAACATCGTTGGTCATGAAATCGTAGCAGACGTTTCCTTTGAAGGCGGTTGTGTTGGAGCGTGTCCAGGTGTAGGTTGTAGGAATGGAAGCGATGCCTGTGAGAGGGGTTTCCAAATTTTGGGTCAGGCCGACGAAAGAGTATCCTTTGGGAACATTGTTTCTAGATTTTCACGTTAACTTGAAATTCTCAATTGAAGTGTTCTTTTAGTTACATACGTGCTTTCGACATAGGTAATATCGGTCTCACTGTTCCACTTCACCTCAGCAGTCCCATCACTCCCTGTGATCATACTATCATAATATGTACACTGACTGCCCACGATCTGATTTGCGTTATACCACATGTTATACACAATTCATGGCGAATTGTTCAAAATGAGATAATCATAATCGCCGCAAAGATCGGTAGATGCTTGAGTGGCTCTGGTACTGAAATGAGGGCGAGCCAGAACGCCAGAGGCAGACGTGAGAGCTACCAGAGCTGCGGTGTTGCGAATTTGTGCAATCATTTTGTAATTTTATGGTGGATCTGATGGCCTAAATGGGTAGGGAAGAGATCGAAGAATGGAAATAAATGAGCGTGGATGGTAAGTGAGTGAATTTGAACTTTCAAAGTTCGATCAAAAGAATGTCAGGAAAAAGAACTTCCAGAGTGAGTGAGCAAAACGAGTGAACGACAAATTAAAGATTTCCGAGGTCTTTAAAGCGATCAAGAAATGGTAGAGAAGCTCTTGTCCACTCAGTCAAGGAGCTAAAGTACCGTCCAAACCTCCTTATACTATACTTCCTTGTAGTCAACCCTACTTCAACTCACCAGCAATCCTTCGCGGCCATGATCCATCCATGCAAGCCTTACCTATCCATCGGCGAGATCTTCAGAATGGCCTGTCCACACGAACAATTTAAAGACCAGACCATTCGATAAGATCAAATCATATATCTAAAGCATCGCTTATCCCACCTTTCATCTTGTTCTCGAATGATGAAGTGCGGCTTTCTTAAGATTAAGAGATTGAACAATTCTACGTAAATCAGCATTGTATATATGAAACACACTAACTAGACGAATTTAAATAAATGGAGCATGATGATCACGTGAATGCTCGAAATCTCCCGCCGACTCCACTTTGCTCCGCCTTGAGAAATTCTATATTGATGTTTAATTGGCGATCAGGAGATCCCGCCCGTTGTTCCACTCTCACTCTGCCGACTCGCGGCGGATGAAGAAATCCGCACATCAACCCCGTAAAAATGAAGGGGATTCTAGAAATGAATGTATTTGAAAAATCAGTTATAGAATCATTCAAAATTATTTTGAATCCTATGTGAAACTATACTAACATACAAAAGAGACTGTAATACGAATACGTCAGACTCAGCACGTGCGTGCTTCTTACAATCTTGACGGTCATTTCACAACTCTAATTCAATCACACCCCTAATTATAGAATCTAATTCGTCCCTCTATGCAACCTTCTTCTCCTCCATAAAAAGCCATTTCTCATAACCAACCTCCCAAGAAGCAATCTGTATTCTCATCTATTTTTCGGTCTGATACGAATCTGCACTCTTGCAAATCCTCTTCTAATTATCATCTAACCCAGGACAATTCTCAGATGTTATCTCAGTAAGGCCGGTATATGGTTTTGGATCTGTCCAGATGATATCGTATCTACATGAGATCAGTTATGATTCCCGTGAAAAAGAAAATGTCTCATCCCTCCCTTAACCAAATCATCTGACTCAGAAAAAAAAGAAAAAAGAGAAACTCACGCATGTTTCTTCCATTTGGGCGCATTTTCATCACCCAAAGCCTTAACAATGTCGGTCAGCGCACCGTGTTGCCAGCTAATCAATATGTTTCCTTCGCCTTCATATTGATTCACGATATCGGCTACACAATCTGCGTCATCTCTGTCACACGAAATATCAACTGTGATATTTAGATCTGTGGCCAGGGGTTGCACTGTATCGAGTGGACGCGTGCGTTCTCCATCTGATGTACACGTGTTAGATTTCTGAGAGTTTTGAGATGAGAGATCGGATTGCGAGGAAATAATTGTGAGAAAGGTAGTTATACAGATGACATTCCCATCGATGTAAAATGCTACCAGGAGTATCTCAAAGAAAGCAAATGCATCATAACGGAGAAATTGAAATGAAAAGGGAAAACATACCGCTCTTGGGTGTCATAGCCATTATATACTTGATATCATAAATACTTTCATTGCCAAAGACATTGCGAAGACATTGTGCTCTTTGGAGACCGAGGGCACTGAGGCCGTTGCCACCATCTGCAGGCTTCTCTCCATGACGAATCAGGTAGACTGTCTGGGAAGAGACTGAGAGGGGAAGAGTGAGGAGGGCCAGAAAAGAGGCGACGAAAAGCTGAGGGCGATGCATTGTTGACTAGACTAGAGGCTAAATCTTTGGCAAAGGACTTGTTAGAATATCAGGTACGGGATATAGAAAGAAGGAGAAATGGGCATTGACGAATATATATGCCGTTTTCCATTCCTCCCTGTACATCAGATGCATATCAAAGGCATATGACACTCTCTCAATAAAGTTTAGTATATTGATGTACTAATGTAACTTGTATCTGAGGTGATGATGAACTAAAGTTCGCGTGTCGCTGTCAAGTGATGATCGCCAAGCAATGAGGTTACACAAAGGTGAAACATACGTCAATAAAAACCCTAAAACATCAAGAAGCTTGAATCGAAGGATTGAACGATCAACATCTAAACAAAATGACGTTTTAATTTCTGCTAGATATGATGATTGATACTCGAATGAGCAAAAAAGAAACGGTACCACCTAGAGATCACAGATCAGAAGTATTTGCTGTAGATTCGAATCAGTGAATATGTGATACGACAGTACCACGCGAATAGACAACTCCAATGCTCCTCATCCATTCGCAGAACGATAAATACAATAAATAACATTCTTATCCTCCGCAATCCTCCGTTATTCCCTCTTTAGAGCGGGGAATAATGCGCCTTTCCACACCTCCTTAAAACCGTAAACTCAATGTGAAAACCATCACCTGCGTTCCTTCATCGAACGCATCACTAAGCAGATATATCCACTTGATAAAATCACGGGGGCTGCAATTAGGCAGAAAATACTGTGCGAAAGACTCAAGAGCGAAATAGGAAGTGATGGACTAATTCACATCGACAAAAACCAACCCAAATACTGGAGAATGGTAAAAAGGTCTGTGGAATTGAGAAAGTCAATTCGAGTTTTCTCGTAGAAGATACAGAGAGAAATTGATGCTATGAGTTCGAGAAGGAAACGATTGTTCCCCATTGGTAGCGAGCCCCTACGGTAAACATGTCGCCAGCGATGGATCATGCTATGGCTGGGGTACTGTATTGCTGGTCGATTCGTCCCGACCGAATATTAGATCCTTCAACATAAATGAAGATGTGGAATTGATTTATAAAAATAGTTTCCGCCATGACATAGTCGAAGATTGCACCGATGGCCGCGCCGGGAATTTGGGCTGTGGATATTGCTTGGAAATTGATGATTGGGAGGCTTTCTTAAGGTTATAAGACGAAAGGAAATACCATCTTGCTTTGAAATCATCATAATTACCAAAAAACGTATGTACCATTGTTGCAGTCTATCCCATACTGATTTCAATCAGGTATGCGATGTATGTTCCAGCCAGATAAGGGATGCCGTCAAACCAGCTTGACTGATCTCATTATTTGCGTTCAGCATTAACGAAATAATATACTGGGCGTAAACTGTAGCGTTGAAAATATTTATAAAGAAACCCATAGTGGTGACCATAGGATAGCATTACATTGTTAACTAAGGCTGAGGAATAAAAACCCAAGACATTGATTTTCCTGTGGTCCACCAAATCGGTTTGTGAAGGAAAGATTATTCTGCTCGAAAAGCTTGCGCTACACCACCAACATGAATAGTTATATGATTGACAAATGGTCACAACTAATGGCCAATGACATTGTGGAAATGGAAGTGGAGCAGGTTATCCAAGGAAAATGAAGGACAGGCAACCCTCTGTTCCAAGATCGTACTAAGGTTTCTCATAAACAAATATCCCAATATTACAGGAGCTTTTCCGATATAGCCAACTAGCCAAATCATTGGGAACAATATTTTATGAGCCTTGTCAAACACATGGTCTGAATCACAATAGTGATAGTAGTCGTGTCTATATCGTATCTGGGCGACGAAGAGAACCATGCTCATGGCATCTTCGGATTGAGATAATCACAATAAGAGCAATGTTCCTGTCTTGTACGATGCAACCAATATAGTACTACGGAGACGCAGCCGCCAATCTACTTCGCTGATCTTGCCTCTGCATATTCTTCAGACTTCATACCGATGAGTATGAAAATCCATGACAAATCCATGACAAAAGTTGTAGAACGCAGGACAGGATCGGTGTTTGCGCATACCAGACCTGAAATGTACTGTATCCACAGGTCTGCCCACTGAGCAACCATATTTGCTATCCCTCCAGGATAGAGAATACGAATGGCCGGCAAAGTCGGTAGAATACATGCTGCCCACAGAAAGATTGCATTACCCATACTCGAACACTGGAACTGCCGACTGACTATGGGATGTGAGATCATGGGGAGTGTATAGATAATAAGAGAGTGGCGGTCGAATAGCAACAGCTTGGAGATCAATGAATAGCAAATGTTCTGGAGGCATACGAAAAAGCCAGCGTGCCGTTCCACATGGCTATGATCGTAGAATCTTGATCAATGTAGACATATTGCAATATTTTTACATCAAGACCGTGAGCCTGTATTCGTAGAATAGATGCGAAGATGCGCGGAAATTTTGGTTGTTACGTCTTGTGCAAAAGATGTCTTTAGGCTTTTCCAGATTAGGCTTGGCAAGGCTGAAGGAAAGTAAGCTTTGGGCTGTGGCTCCATGTCCCACTCTGCAACCACAAACAATCCACAAACTTGTAACTTTGAACTCTTTCTTTCCATTCAATAATGTACACATGAATCCTGTATTTTGCACTTTCAATGATCATGTTGAGCTGGAGACTGAACGGAGAGTTCTTCACTTTTCCACTATAAGATAGTTTCGGCGACCAGATGAGATTCCCCTATTTTATCTGATGTTCAGCGACCGCGAGCCTGGAGGGCAAGCCTCAGTGTCCGATTCGCCATTTCCGCTTCGACGTCAAACGCGAGACGTCCGAATGTTCAATTAGGGTTAACGGATGGGTATTTTAAACATGGCACATTTGCAATTCGGAGGAGTGGTATTTACTACACGCCGTTCTAAATGATAGCCCACGTTTCACGACTTCACGACCAACACTCAATGCGATATGGATGAGCCATAATAAATTCGAACATTATCTTACCTGATTTCACGGATTCGCATCACTATTTATAGTTCAGATGAAATCTATGACGATTTATATTGGGGGCTGTCGTCTAGACTCGGGATTTCTCAGAGACATTTCAACGCCACCATTCAGAACTCATCTCCCTATACACTCGTCTTCAAAGGAACCATTTTGAAAGATCACTGTTTCATCCAACTTCGTCTTCTTGTCTTTGCCAAAGGTGATTGATGTCTCCTGCCGCCGTGTGTCATAGTACTTTTCAGAGTACAAGTTGCCGAATTCTTCCCAACATTGGGTGCTACATACCCTCGATCAAAAGATGCCGTGTGGGATGAGAAACTCGAGGTATAGAACCAACAAGGGTGGCTCCCATAGACCAGTTAAGAATCCTCTGTAGTCTGGAAACCTACGCGTTAGTGCATTTATAGTAGGAAAGTTCTTTCCTTTGACTCCCGAGTACTCGTTCCCGAAAGGATATTTCTAGCGACTGGCCCACAACCATTCCTCTAACGCAGTTCTTATTGCTAGTAGGACCTCTTAATTATGTATATTTCACGGAGCTGATTTTCGAGAGTCTATTTATCAGTTATTTTCAGAAGTATAACATCCGATGACCGACCAGACCAATGAAGTATTTTCCGCATCCTGAGGAGCCCTGTGGCTCGGTTCCGATGGTACCAACTGCCGCTGACTTTAAAATCGCTAGTCCTGCACCTAGTCGGTACCCGAGCTTTCTGTCGGCCGAGAATCCGTGGTCTTACTTCACCGGCATTTATCGGATTGGGGATTGATTGAAGCGCAGGTTAAATGCATCCGATCAATGATCTTGTTACTTCATATACACTATTCGCCCTGTCTGACTTTGCGCCTACCTGCCCCTCCTTGTGCACGTCGTCTCTCGCAATTATATTGAAATAGTCAAGTACTGGTGGAATCTAGATCCTTGAATCATTGGACCCTGATTTTAGGTATGGCTTGTCGCATGTTGAAGCTGCGCTTGTTCCTAGGTGTTTTAATATATCAATTTTTGAGGGATACAATGCTCGTTATCCGTGCACCTCTGTTACTGTTGTCGCTGCACGCCCCGTTAAATGCTGGCAAGTCAACGTGGTATCTCTACTTGCATCATCGCATTCATTTATGGGCCTAAATTAGTGTCTCATGTTTCTTCACGGAGAATCAATCTATAAGTTCCTTAAGTTCAGGGGCAATACTTTAAAGTGGTGTCAACAGCCGCATTAGCTGCTAATAGCTTTGACCAAGGCTGGGCACCTGTGATTATTTGAATCGTTGCCAATCAGCCTTAGGTAAATAGCCGATCCTGTGGGCTGAATAATTTCTCTTCCCGCTCACGATCTACTAATAAGCTTTGATAGTTCCTGAAGATCCTCCAAACTGCGATTTATCAACGGGTCTATCTGCGTACCATATCGAACTTAGCAAATCCAAATCACACTTTTACTATCGTGGAACTAGGTCTGGATATGTGATTGAATGGATTGTGAAAGTGGATAGAGTATTGGAACTTTCTCCTGATTCTTCCGTCTTGAACTAGGAAACAAGAGATAAGCTTAATTCAAACAGATTGACCTTAATTCAAATGTTAATATTAACCTTAATTGAAAACAGCTTAGCATATTTTGAATTCGATGAGTTGATGCAGAAAATTGAGGTTTCCGAGAATCGAGATTTTCTTGGGTATGGTATCAATTTCAGAGACAGGAGATCTCTAAGGTCAATTGAAATCATGTAAGTGACTTATAGATGGCCATTGTTGACAATGGCAAAAACCTATAAGTATATGTCCTATTCCTGTCCATCATCGATCATCTCATCTTCTCTACATTCATTACATCCATTACATTCCTTTACCAATATCCCACGTTCATTACAACCCAAACAAAAAACTCAAAATGCAATTCACCACCACCACACTCATCGCCATCCTCAGCGCTATCGCAGCTGCATCTCCTATTGAACCCCGTCAAAATGGAACGTCGCAGCCAGAGCGAGAACGCCTCTGCACTTCCGCTATTGACACTGCCATGTGCTGCCAAACCACTCTTGCCGGTGTTATAAACCAGACCTGTTCAACTCGTATGTTCTATTCTAACTTTGACCCTACACATGATTTCTGTATGCAAGTGCTGACTAAATTCAAAGCTGCCATTACTCCTCGTACCAAGCAAGAATTCCGAGCATACTGCGCCGCTCAAGGACAAGACTCTTCATGTTGCAAAACTCCTCTCGTCGGCGATGGAGTTATCTGTACTCCTCCTTAGATGGGAAGTTGATTGTGATTGAGGTCTGAATATGTGGACATTTGGACGGGCGTTGGAATTGATACGAAAATTTTAGTTGGAGTACGGATTGGTGTACTGTATGATTATTGAGGACGGACGCGTATTTTCTCTGATTTTTGATGCCATTTTGAAGGATGGAGGGAATCTTATTACATTGTAATTTATCTTTAGACTCTTTTGTCACTTGTTGTATAGATCAAAATGTTTCATACATATTCCCTGACAACTCCAATGGTTTGAATGAAAATTTAGTAATTCTGCTTCTTGTTCTTTAGATCTTGGATAAATGATATCTTGGACGAAGTATTTAGGAAAGTTCGAGGGAACTCAATTTTTTTATCCGGGTTCAAATACATTGATTTCGTACTATTTTGTTTCTTGTTGTTGTAAAATGGATGAAATTGAATTGCCGTAATTAATCATGATTATCAACAACTTTCCATCAACATCTACGCAAGCAGTGACTAGTTGGAGGCAATGAAAAGATATCACGATAAAATATGTGTGTACAAACTCATTCCTTCAGCGTGATAGGTTCATGGAATTACCTTAGAATGAAGATTACGCCAATGTGATTACCATGACAGTCCGAGTCATTGGCGGCTACTATGATATTTTCAACAAGAAGTACAAGATTTCGAATGAGAGACATGACTATTTTCCACGCCACCAAGAAAAGCGAACTACGTTTGAAGAACGATGAAAGTCCTGATTGTCGAGAGAGATTGCGGCTGAGTAGGGTAAAACATCGCTAAATTCCTAGGCTTGAGACATGAATTGATATACACAATCTAAGCTCGCTATATAACCTCGGTAGAAGACACTAGAGTTGGTAGGCATTTGTAAGGGTGCTTTCGATAATCCATGCTAAGTTAATATGATTTGAATAATTAGAAGTTCAGCAGAAATAAACATAAGATACGGTCCATAGATTTGGAAATGTTGATATAACATTAGGAGCAAGTAAGGAGCAGTAAGCTGGTCAGCTAGCATAGACTATCACGACTTATCAAAACATGTTATCGCAGAAGTAAATAAAGCCAAAGCCAATTTTGACTACGAGGGACCTTGAACTGGAAAGTTCAATCCAATTGTGATGTCATTATGATGGGCTGAGAATGAATCAAATAATCACCTAGCGAATTCCGGGGAGGTTCTGAGCTTGGGAGGCTTTGACAGGCTTTTAATGCTTAGAAGGCGTAGATGAACAGCGTGTACAACGTATCGTTAAACATTCAGACTTATGAAGGGAAAGGATAGTTGTGTGGAAGGGAAGAAAGCGCAGAGAAGTCCCTCATCATGACATCACTTGGCGGGTTAAATGAATAAACAAAATGAGGGGTTTGGAATTTGTGTGGATTTTGTCTGAAGCTGCTGCCTCTTGCAAAAATGTCAAAAGAATACAAAAGGTGATAGGATAGTTTGCGCACTGTGTGTCTCCTTCCGCGAAAGGGAAGACGAGTCAAATCACGCAAAGGAAGAAGTGACAACTAGGAATCAAAAAGTTCCTCAAAGCATATCGCAGGATTTTTCTCATCACATTTTCACATGGAGCCAGCCATCCGGTATGTTCATAAGATCCCAGGTAATTCTATGGGATGTTATTGATTGCTAGCGAATTTACGGATGAAGAAGTGTTTTGTTGTAAAATAATGATTAAATATTCGAGTTGCAAAGGAGCGTATTATCTATAAAAACCGTATCCAGCAGTATTCTAATCCCTGAGCTCAACAGAAATCATCCAAATTGTGTTGACTTATACTATAGTCGTTTGATACCGTCTCTTGTGCTCCACATTCAATCCATCGAATCTAACCAGAACCATGTCCTGCTGGGAGAAGAGCAAGAAGGCCAGCGGCGCTCTCAGCCCTCTTGACCTCCTCTTCGGATGGCTCGCGTTTGTCGGAACCATGACCAGCAGGAAGCAATGCGAGGAGAGAAGCTGCGTTATCTCTCTTATCAGAGCCATGACCTGCTGGAAGGAGAGCAAGAAGGCCAGCGGCAGTTTCGGCTCTCTTGTCAGCGCCATGGCCTGCTGGGAGAAGAGCTAAAAGACTAGCGGCGTTCTCAGCCCTCTTAACCTCCTCTTCAGATGGTTCACGCTTTTCATGGCCAGCTGGAAGAAGAGCGAGAAGGCCTGCTGCACTATCAGCCCTCTTGTCAGAGCCATGTCCTGCTGGAAGGAGAGCAAGAAGACCAGCTGCACTATCGGCTCTCTTGTCAGAGCCATGTCCTGCTGGAAGGAGAGCAAGAAGGCCAGCGGCACTGTCGGCTCTTTTGGATTCCTCTTCTGGCTCACGTTTCGAGGAACCATGGCCTGCTGGTAGGAGGGCAAGTAGTGAGGCGGCATCGTTTGCTCGCTCTTCTACATCTCTTTCAACTGCAGAGGCAGCGAGGGAGGCAAATTCAGCTTGGCCACGCGCTGTTAGCTGGTCGAATTCTGCACCAGCGGAAACAATTGCAGCATGAAGGTCCTCGATTGGCATGCCTCTCTCAACCACAGATGAAGTAGCAAGGGAGGTAGAGGCAAATGCGACCAGCGCGAAGGAAAGAATAGATTGATTACGCATATTGAATGTAATTTAGGTAGTATGTAGATAGAATGAAGACTGAAATAATAAAGTACCTGCAGATGAATTGATGAGAGAACACGAAATTATTGTATGAGCACCGCTGAGGAAAGAAGGGAGGAATCTGTGCTATCGTCGAGTTTATATACACAGCAAGAACAAACTTGTGTTCCAATCGCAACTTTGCGAATATTCAAAAACACTTACACCGGAAGCTCTTCATCCAGACCGATCTGAATTCATGCAAACCTCCATGGATCGAGTACCTTACAGAATATCGTTTCAACAAACAAGCTTCTAGTGCTTTGACTCCCGTTCGTTCTCCGCCGTCACTCTCCCTCGGCAATGTCAGTGCGCATGGTATTACCGTCGTAGAAAACAGAACGCGTTTGAAACGACCTGGAGAAGTCCAATGCAACATTTCCGATCAAATAGTGTATCAGAATGTCAACTTTCATTGGATCGCAACATTTCTGCCGACTTGTCCGACGAATTTGAAGCTTAGCCAAAACATTCGTTAGTTCGTGGCGATCAATTCTGAGAGATCAAATATAGAATATTGAGGCCATCTATTTCCTGTTATGCTACTGTCATGATCGACAGCATACGTGTCCGTTATTCTAGAACTATCAGCTAGACGAATCTGGCGGCGCATACCAGACATAGTGTTGTATCTTGTGGCGTTTTCTTGAAATGCACAATCAATCTTTCCTTTTGGCAAGCCTGTGCGGCGTAAGAAGACGACACAAGTTTAATGCATTAAAAAATGCGATCGGATAGCTGGTTGAAGATGAATTATGAATCGAGAGAAATAATGTCTCGAGATCAAACAATCTGTTATACGTTGTAAAAAGTATGAATGATTGTGTACACGTCGATCATATCAAAGGAGAAAACGCGTGCTAGGTTAAAAAGGCGGCATCGTGTGGCAGAATAAACACGTGATTATTTCCACATCATACCTTCACTCTCTCGACTTCTTTCACACACCTTTCCGTTTGCCAATTGCAAGATAGCCCAAGGTCGTGGTTTTTTTCTGATTTTTGGATATCCTAGCTAGATACGATCGCCGAATCGAAAACAGTGTGTAGTATGGACGTACTGCCGGCATCACAGTCTTCCTCGTCACACAGTCCGCTGTGTGTACGACAAGCTTTATGCTGAATCTTATCATTTTGACTTTCTCTTGGGCCTCAAAAGCAAAAGAACTTTACAGCTATATTACTAAATTGATCAGTTGGGAGAAACACAATTGGAGAAATGAAAGAGCATCAAAGAGCGTTACAGCTATCAAGTGCAAACATCATAACAGTATCAAAACAGAGAACATCACACAGCTTCGAACGTATTCATGACTGCGCCATACACTTCTTACATCAACTCTCTTGCTTTGACCCATCCGGTAGCCATGATAACAACCAAGTTGATATCAGAATACACAGCCGAGCAAGTCGCTACCCAAAAGTTGATGGACAAACGTTCCAAATACACTATTTACAGGTCGAGCTAATTTTGGCGTAGATGCGTCGATTGTGATTAGACCAGAAGCATTTGAGAAAGCTGTCCTTGATTGCCATTGTGGCTAGTGATAGCAATGACGTCTGATCTGGGTCTAGACTATAAAAGGGTTTCAGTCTCGGGTGGCTTGTCGAGAATATGGGCGTTCAACAACTTGCCAGTCACGAATCTGATGTTGAGATGCTCGGAGGCTATTGGTGTTGAGTTGAACATAAGGCATGAGTCTGATGGAGGCCCAAAAATTGGTTTCGTCGGCGATAAATCCACAGTTGGTGGTTCCCTGGCAGCTGTGAACTCTCAGAAGAAATGATTCGTGGTAGGCGTTGAAAAGGATTCTGTATTGAGATAAGCAGTAGAGAGAGTTCCAACAAAGAGGGAACAGGGTATGTTCACACTAATCTCGGTCAATTTAGTGGAGTGTTCAAGAGGGGTAAGCAATACACTGTCACCAGATCTTCGGCGCTAACTTCCTCAAAATCTTTTCTATCACATTCTAGATCAATTGCGCCAGAAAGCCACGATATCTGACAAATTTTCACTACTTTTGCTTGTGGAATCTTCCCCCAAATGCCTCGATCAACTTGATCCATCCCGAGTCCAATTGCACACCATTTACCAACCAAGCTCGCTCCCTTTATCTTCAAGGGAGGTACCGCTTCCAATTTAATCAACAGAATCAATTCAGATTCCCTTTCTGAGTGCGATCCTTTGGTGCCTTTCCATGATTTTTGCCACGGTCATCGAATCTGGAAGTTATCGATAACAGCTCATCTTGGCGATATTGTAATCCAACTTCCCTCTGCCCAAAATCTAACTCGTCTGTGACTGAGCCATTCAAATAACGTATGAAAGATTATGTATCGATATCTAAAAGATACCCGCATACTTTATTTTCTTCAATATCGGGATGCCTTGCAGGATATACTCACATGGCGTCAGCTTGTTTCTTTTGTGATAGAGATTCATTAGTCTTCGATCGCACTTGTGCCTCATATTTCGAATCATGCATAATTCGGCAAACATATAACGATGTCTTGTGTGGAAAATCCAACATAAGTGGTTGTGAACAGTAAATTAATACTTCGTAGGCACTATTTAGAGTACCAGATAACCATATGCTGACTGCTGGTCTCCAAGTATCAATCATAGTTACTACTCTGATATGAACCAACCCCGATCAAAACAGAGTTCACAATTCGACTCGAGGTGTCTGGGAAGGCGTCATTTTAGACTTCTACCCCACCAAGAGAAACCTTCAATGAGCCAATAGCGAATGCTCAATATCATCAAGCTGATTATTAAGCGTCCTCAGATCCAGATAATTTGGGTGGGCTGACGGCGATAGCATCTAATTTTCATTGAAAGCCAGGAGAGAGCTCTATGCGTGTCAATCATTTTTGATCAATCTATGTTTATGAGTCATTCGGTAACATTGATTTATCATCAAGATCCCAAATGAGCAACGTGGATACTGTATGTCAATATGTTGATGCCATATATATTTCGCTACTTTGATAAACGTGATAAACGACAACGTTAATTCACTTTGATTGACTGCAGAGAGAAGTACTCAAAAATATAACAATAATAATAATGTCGTCTCCTTTGAAAGATAAGACAGCTTTGGTGGTATGAACATATGGATCTCGTTATACTTGTGTTACTTACTGACCTCCATTCTCTCAGACAGGTGCATCCATGGGAATTGGAGAAGCGATCGCAACACGACTTGCAAATGACGGAGCTAACCTAGTATTACTTTCTCGTAGTAAAGTAAGTAATCTTTTGCCGATATTCTGGTAGAAAAAAATTAACGATTTCACCAGGACAAGTTGGACAAGATTAAAGAGAGCATTCTGTTAAAAACTCCTTCCACAAGAATTTCTGTTTTTGCAATAGACATTCAAAATTACAAAGATGTTGATAAAGCGGTTGAGACTGCTGTGACCGAATTTGGATCAATCGATATTCTCATTAATAACGTAGGTGCTACTCACAAAAGATCAGCAGGTTGCTAGAAAAGTTGAATTAATGTTTACCCCCTGGCCAGGCCGGCCTAGTATTAGGAGCTCCCGCTGCGTTCTGGGAACTATCTCTTGAGCTCATCGACCAAATGAACACAACCAATATTTCCGGCACGATGTATACCACGCACTCTGTCCTCAACAGAAGTATGATTCCTAACAGCAAAGGAACAATCCTCAGCGTTTCATCAGTAACCGGTCTTGAAACACCTCCTTTCCAAGGAGAAACAGTCTATCATGCTAACAAGGCATGCATTGAGGCTTTCAGCAATAGTTTAAGAATGGAAACAGCTGAAACTAACATTCGCGTCATGGTAATCCGACCTGGGGTTGTGAATACACATTTCCATCTTCAAAGGGTCAAATTTGATCAGGATGCCATGGATGAGTTCACATCTGGATATCCGCCACTTGTTGCGGAGGATATTGCGAATTCTGTATCTTTCATGCTTGCGCAACCTGAGAGTACCACAATCAAAGCTTTAGATTGTGTTCCAATTGGTATTTTGTTGACGCCAATTATCCTTTTCGACTGCTAACACATGACTCTTGTAGCCCATAGATCTCTGACTAACTTTGACCGCACATGGAATGAACGGAACAATGGATGATTCACAGATAGAGGTGTTGAATTCCAAGGAATATTCACTCACAAGGACGATCCCCCGCGAGGAGGGTTCTCTGCAATTCAGGCCAGAGAAGAGAACACAGTATCGGCATGCCAAAAGCTCGAAGCTAGGATAGATGATCATAGACACAAAATTGAACAACTCGGTTCAGTAATGAAGTTACCCTTGTCAATTCTACTTTGCAGATGTTTGTGTTTCTCTTTGAAGACTGGCATGATGATAGGCTAACTTCTCATTGCCCAAGATGAGGCAAAGACGCTTACGAGCAAGATGTGCTGCAGATACTTGCACCTTTTAAAGTTTGTAATGGTGAAAAGAGTACTGGCATGTTCTTGGACGACGACAGTTGATGCAGTGGTAACGCTGAGTGCACGAGAAGAAGTGTTCAACAACAGAAAATCGACCCTATTTATCTTATGGGACTACAACGATATCTTCTTAAGCAGTTCATAGTGATTTACAAGATGGCATGAAAATGGCATCTTTCCATATGGTCAATTAAGACAACTAATACACAAATCTCGGCTCTCATACTCCATTCAGTAGGCCCTTGAAGATTACATCTCGGAGCCGAGTGCCATGGGAATGAGGTTGTTTTTAATTTACAAGAAACAGTCAATCAACTTTCCGGCAGATAAGCCGTGCCTGTATTTTTTCATTGAGACGGATGAGGTTGGATTTTTTACGTAACCTGGATGGGAGGTATCCTATCATTCAATGCGGAGAGGAAGAGACGTGGAGCAAAGATTAGATTAGATCTTTTGTCGCCAAGCCTACAATTTAACCTTATAATCTGATCTACCGTATACATGGATCAGGTTGAAGGCCAAAAGTGGAATTTAACCGGGGGAGTCCACTCAGGTATGATACTTCTGAAGACTGCCGCGACTAAATCAAGCGGTGCTAGCTGTTAAGAGTGGGGTTTTGCAAAGGGTCAAAGGTGCCAAATCACATACATGCAAGTATTTACTCAACTGGCCTAGATAATTTACTTCCCAGTGGGTTTTATCCACTATCTATGGAGGCATTTACTGTACAGATCCGTGTGTTGTACGTCCGTTGTCGACTTTCTCCATAATATCTTGGTATTTACTTTGAGAATTTGTAGATGTCTTGGAATTCTGCCACAACTTTTGGAACATCACAGGCTACGTCCCACAATTACTCTTTACCTACTCTTTGTTGGTTTTGAATCAATAGTTTTATGGTGGATTGTTCGGTTTATGTGTTACTTTGTTACTCCGGGTTGTATTTTCTGTATCTTTGAACATTTCCTTCACGGATATCGGCAGACTTGGACTGAAGAAAAGTGGTCGAGTCTGGTGATATGATTCTTCTATTATTATACGCGCTGAAAGTAGTTATCTGCGTTAGCGTTTTGGATTAAATGTTTGCATATTGGCGGATGCTATTTTGTTATATGTCGTATATGTATATTGGAAAGCTTGTTCAGCAACTAACCTGATGTTGGTTGTCAAGTAGGGCACAGACAGAAGGACCTATGGGAATTTGATCGCTCACATGTTTTGATTATAAAATTTATCGTGTAACACTCTTACTTACCCAGATATCGTATTGTTTGATACCAGAATAGATTGTGGTGTTACTTCATCTCGTGATGTTTTAGAAAGCATTCGTTTATTGACGGATGAGTATACAATACTGTGTAATGTTTTAATCGTCTCGTCTTATAGTCTCGTCACTGAAGAATACGAGGTGGTATTGTATGCGGGGTAATCAACAGGGGGTCCAGGCTTGTTCGCCTGTACCCGCCCCCCGTGTTGTACACTATCAGACTGTCATGACTATGTACTCCAAAACGTTCCTGCTTTAGGAATTTTGGTGTCTAACTCGCAGTTGGTGACATCCGATCATACCTCGTACCACTGTCATATTCAATCATATTCAATCATGCACTTAAGGTATTTTTCCCACATCATTGTTCCTTCCCACTTATTACTCCATTGTGTGCATGCGAATCATGTAGATCTTTTGGATATGCGGTGAATACGAGATCCTTCCTTGGCGTCATCATCTCACCTCTACGCCTTCCCTATTGATTTTGCCTCAGTCAAGAGACATACTACCTGACTACATAAAAGAAGTGCTCTTCCCATCAAAAAAACTATCTTCATCAACACCCATCTTTACCATTCCGTTCACTACAGCAGAATCGATCCCTACATCTAGGATTTGACACTATTGATTCATTCGATCGATACTAGATTGCATTCTTAAAAAAAAATCTGTTTACATATTCGAATATCAAGATTCAGGATGCGTACCTCATTTGTCCTCGCTGGCCTCCTGGCTGCAGCTACTCAAGTTACAGCACAATACACAAATCAATCCGCCCCATTTTACCTCGCACTTGTATCCTCAGACGATAGCCTGAATGGCGCCACTCTTTCGCCTTGTCATGAGGGTGCAGCTATCGAAGGACTTTGCCTTGGTCCTTCAATCTCTAGCCCAAACGCTACCTTTTCCACCTTCAATTTCAACACTTCCTCCTTCGACAGCAGTTTCAACGCGACCATCGGCGAAACTGGTGTTCTGACGTGGCTGCTTCAAGGTGCAAATTTCAATCTTTCTTCGCCTTTCGGACTTTCATATAGCGCCACTAGCAACGTTGCGGTACCATTGTTCACTCCTAGCACGACTTCCACAACGAATGTAGCGTTTGACGAGGACAATTTGTTGAATATCCAGGGTTATCAAGATGATACAGTATCACCAATTAGCTTTGGTACTGAAGCTTATTACAGGTGGTACATCTGTGAGACGTACTGGGGTTACCACTACACCACTTTGGCCTGGGTAGTGGGCGAGGCTGATCCACAAAACCCAACCTGCGTGAAAGTTGATGTTCAAAGAGTTTTCACCGAGGCCAAGAGTTATGAATAGTTGGTAGATGGGACTCCAGTGGATCGATTTTGAGTCTGTGGGATGGTTGTGTGGGCGGTCACCTATAATTTGAACGACGAAGGAAATGATGAAATGATGCAAATTGATCACGGGAAGCAGCAATAAATACAGGAGTAGTAATGACTAATGAAAGATGCAATCTTTTTCAAACAAAATGATGTCTCCGTAAATCGAGAGTTCTTGTCGGTGATTGTGATGATCTGCTCTAAGCTTTGTAGTTCTGGCTTTTGTTCTCTCTTTTAGTATTCATCGTTGCCTATGTATTCGTCCGAGGTCAAGATGATCTCAGGATTCAGCTTTGTGCAAGCTTTCTATTCTATTGCTTTGTGAAATTCCTTTTGTTATGCTGCCCGTCAAATACTCCGTGGGATGATTTTGTGCCAACGCATGAAGAATGGAAAACATCGCGCATCACGATTGAGATCCCAGGCATCTGAGCTTGAAGTGCTATCTTATTGTCAAATATGAATGGGCAGAATAATTATTATTAGGTATGATGATTTTTTGTATTGTTTCAAGTCAATTTACATTATGGATCGGTCATAAAAAGGGCTGCGTCCAGCACTCATTGCCTACAACATGCTGTTGCTTCTATTCATTGATCCAAACTATGTTCAAAGAAGTATCTCGGCAACGCCTCCTTTGATTGTTGTCCAAGGACAGTCAAAACATATCCGGAAACAAAAGATTGAAAAGCTAGCCCTTTCACCAATGCTACATTTTCAACTCTTTGTTGCAACACAACAAAAATGAAAAATTACATTAAAATTAATTGATAAATGTGCATCTTCAGCTTCTTCGAAGTCCGAGATAGATATCAATCTCGAAACATGCCGCCAGCACCAATAGCCACCTATGAGCACCAGCTGAAATACGAGAGAGATGCCCAGAGACGTCCTTACACCGAATATGCTCGGAAGTTCGGACCTAAATCTCCAGACAGAGCTCAGGGAAAGAGTTGGTTAACGCCGTTAGATCCTCTGTTTCCAATCAATTGGGAAAATGAAAGGCAGGATGATCGGCACAATATAATCGGAGGGTATCAGAAACAGGAATTGCTTCTCTTTACTACGAGAGAATTGAAGGATTTAGATGCGATTTGTGATAGACCTTTGAGGGATAGTACAATGTCTGGAGGGATTCTACCAATATTGCAGAGAAATAGGTGGGAGGATAAGCCAAGTGATGCGTGGTTGAGGACAGATAGTGTACCGATTGTGAGTTCTTCTTATTTTCGTTCTCCCAAAAGTTCGCGGGGTATAATTCTTCTTGCATAGTGTCGTAAATTTTCACTGTTACTGATTCTTTCGAGCGATAGAGGCATGACCCCGATGGTGGAAAATGGCAATCGAGTAATGACAAAGTTTGGGAGGTCCTCAAACCAATAGTCATACTTGCTTCACAATTTATAACGTCATCTAAAAGTTTACCATGGGTATGATTCATTCTTTCACCTCATGACTTGCTTATGGCTGATTGACCGCTTGATAGCTAGATGCCCTTCTCCTTGGACCCCGCGCTCCTGTCCATCCAGATAGATACCCACCAGGCACAAAGATTCTCAAAGAATACCACACCTTTAGCCCTCGAGAAGGTCCATGGACTGTTGAACGCGAAAACGAAGTCGCAGCCGAAAGAGATCGGGTCTTTCGCGGACTGATGAATGAAATGGATTTTATGTGTTCATATTTCTATAGCCATCAGAACGTGAGGGATAATGATCCACCCAACAATGATCCAACATACCCGGTTAAGAAATTCGGAGATGCTCTGGGAGTTTCAACAATCAATACTTGGGAAATGCTCATCAAGAAGAAACCCGGTGCTAAGGTACGTGATTTCCGAAATTTGTTGACATGTCGACAGTACCCCGGGTGCTCATCGACGGAATTAGCTAATTATAATTGAATTAGTGGCGAGTTCAAATGTTTCTAAACGTCGAATCTCTGGAGCCTATCTTCTTCCAGTATAACGATTTATCAGACTCAGAGCTGGCAGGTATCAGATATCGCTGTGCAAGTACCGTGAGTCTGTCTTAGCGCAAAAGTTTGTCCACTCCTCATGAACTAATGTATTTCTAGATTGCGCACGAACTTATGCATGCAATAGGCTATTATCAGTCTCTGCATCGTCTTGGTGTTCGTGTATTCACCAATAATAGAGAAGGGTATTATGGAACGGAGCAGAGCGCGGAGCTTGGCTGGAGCTGGCAATGGGCAGTAAGTCAATTTAGTGCTTCATATTTCGTACCCTTTCTCTCCTCCGGATGATTATTCGAGTTGCTAAGATGAACCTTCTGAAACTATAGATTTTCGCCGGAATTGATCTCAAGAAGCCTATCAATTGGCGTTCCCGTCGTCTTCTGTGTCAATTTGCCGAAACGATGTATCCCTCTTTTACCAGTAAAGCTCACGGCTCTAAAAGTCAACCTGTTCTCATAGAGCCTGCTATAGAACCACATGTTGATTTCTATCCCATCAGTGTCCAATATTTGGAAGACGTTCACACCCAAGGCTTTTGGGATCTAATGGTTCGTGGTTTTGGCGGAGGCATTCTGAAATATCGCGCGATCAAGGAAGGAACTAGGACTTTCTACCATCCGGATTGTGGTGTATCCGGCCCTTTCCTCTATACGTACAGAGATAGGTTGGATCCTGTTGTCCATGATCCTTATGTCAACGAGGATGCGATGATGTTACAGGGTATATTGAACATACAATCGCAGATGGAGACTACGCCGATGGAAAGGCAAGTTTTAGAATTCGCTGCAAGAATGGCTGAAAGTGCGAAAATTGGGAAAGAATTTTGGGAAAGTATGGAATCACAAGTTAAAGTCGTGGGGGGGATCATAGAGGTGTTGGTCGCGAATAAGAATAACAATATTGGCAGTGGTGGGGGAGAATTGAAATTGATGAATACGGCAGTGAAGAATGTAGTGGAGTTGTTGGTTGTGGCTTCAACAAATCACGAAAGAATGGTGGGAAGTACCTTGGAGAGAGAGAGACAACGTGGAGGTTTGGAAGATATCACTTCTAAGCGGGCGCTGTTGGTTTGGAATAGGGGTGCGAGGGGATTTAATCGAGAAGTCATGGAAAAAATCGGCAAAAGGTCTAGAACTGGAGAACTGTCAATGCAATTGAATCACTCCTATAACCGTCTAGAGAAATGCCAAGCATTATTTTTTACACCAAGTAGAAGGGGAGTCGCGAGTAATTATCCCACAGAACAGAAGGAGTTCGAGATGCTGCTCGAGGCGACCGAGGCGATGCATAATTCAAAAGATTACGACAAAGCGCGACAGTTGTGTTCTCAAATATCTTCAAATAAATACGTTGGATCTTTTGCGAAGAGTGCCGCGTCAATGATGGTTGCCAATTGTGAAGCAGAGAAGGTAGGGGGCGTTGAGAAGTTGACAATACCCATTCGACATAAATGTTGGAGGTTACTCACTCAAGGCTTGGAAAGACTGGTTTGGCTAGAACCAGAGGTTGTCCCAATTTCAGAAGGATGGAAGGAGCTATTCCGGGATTATATTGACTGGGGTAAGAGAACGGAAGCGAAGTTGCGGATTAACCAACAAGATGTTTTGCCCCCTGGGATGGAAGAGACAGGAGAGAGTTCACAGACAGCAAGTAGTCGTAGTGGGAGACAGCCTACAAGAGCGACCAGTCAAAAGAGGACGAGGGAAGATGTAAAAGAGTTGGTTGACGAAGTGATGGAAGATGTGGTCTCCCCGGAACCCAAAGAATGGGATTCAATGCAGAGAATGAGAGCATACAAGAAAATGAAGCGTTCGACGAGAGATCCAGGTGATACCCCACCGGAATGACATAGAGGTAGAAGTCGTTTAGGAAAAAGAAAGATACACACCTCGACCCTTAGAAAAAGGCTTGAAGTCGAGATATTTCGTACCATATTTCTTTGTAGAGCTGACAAACCTGCAGATGAAGCCTTCGGCGGTGTAGTTCACTGGGTGTGATCAGACATTAATTGTCTCAATAAAATACATATCCTTGATGGCTCTGCGACGACTTTAAGTAAGTGGCGAGAATAAGAGCTATGAGTTTCAATAGAAAATACGAGATAGAACTCTCATTGCTGTCCTCAAATCGTTAAATGTGAAGCTTCTTCCCTCAGTCGCACTTGCCTAACACAACACTGTTATACTCGGCTGCACTTGTGAGTCATATGTCATATGATTTGCCTGACTGGAAACTATTGTTCCTTCCTCAATACTGTATTGCTGTCCTCCAATTCCTGAATTGGAAAGTACCAAACGACAACCAATAAATGAGAGCACCAAACATCGACTTTTCCTTCCCTCGACTGCACAAACAAACATTCCACCCCCGAAAAATAGAACACTTCTCATTCTTGGTTACTACGATTGATTTATCATTGCTTACAATTCAACAGTGATTATCAAGACTCAAATCAAACATCACTCGCATCAACAACGCACAAACAGTGCCCATACCATTTTGCTAGATTGCGATAACAACCTCTTCATCGATCCACATCAATTATTTCACAAGGATATCGAGAAGAAAAGCTCCGGAACAATGCCACAAAATGACGCTGATTTCCTTTGTTCAGAAAGTAGCGATATTTCAAAAAGTACCAAATGCTTTTCCAAAATGCTTATAGCTCCGCCGTCGTCACCTCAAACCCCCGAGAAAAAGTGCAGATCCCCCAAGCGGCGCTTTGAAAAGTCTCCATCACCTTCCCCAATTTCCAAGCTAAACGCGGAATCTTTCAGATGCTTAGACGGCTCATTTTTCCGGGCACAAGAAGAAGAGGAAGCCCGAAACATTCCATCTCCGCCCAAAAGACAACGAATGAGATGGAATGCGGTAGAAAGAAAGGCAGATACCAAGCTTAACACCATCGCGGAAAAATTCAAAGCTCGCGAGAATCCTCTATCAAGAAGAGAGAGACGACTCTTGGAGAAAAGACACAGGCTAAAGCTAGCCATAAGGAAAAAAGAGGAATTAGATATCACTGCTACCGCTCCATTGACAAACCTTGCAGGCGAATCTTGTTGTGAAAATGTGTCCGTTCTGGAGAACATAAGCATTAGTGAGGACACTGGGAAGGTGGAAAAGAAATTGCTGTCTAGTTTGACCGAAGAAAAAAGGGAGGAGGAGGAAACAAAGGATCGCCTTGCGGCCCTTGTCAAACTTTGCGAGAGCTTGGAAGTTACTCAAATATCTCCAGATGTTGAACAAATGAAAGCAGGCAGTGGAATTGGTAACCATTCGACTACTTTCGAAATAGACTTGTTTGGTGGAAATAAAAACCTAGTTCAAGGCATCAAATTTGTTTCCCGAGGCCGAGAAAAAAATAGGCCCATTGCACACGAAAAAGAGAATTCGGAAACCTATTTGAAGTTTCTTGGGCTATTGTGTAGCCAGAAAGAAACAGGAACTAAGAAGAAGATGAAAAAATTAGCCCTCATCATTGAGAGTCTGAAGCGTATGTTTATGATCGGAAACCTGGAAAGAAAATTGCAGAAGATTGATGACATAAAGACGCGGGATGGAATGTATCTCAAGGCCTTGGAGTCTTTGGACGAAGAGACAGGAACAGAGTCTAACAATAGAACCGAGGACTTGAAGCTGATGATCGAGATCTTCAAATCTGTTCGAAGCGGACAAATGGCGAAGGACTTACAAGCACTACGAGAAACCATCGATACGTGTTGGAAAGGCTTGGACTGGTTGATTAGAGAGGCAGAAGCGGCTTATGTGAGAAAGACACAAGAAGAACAGCCTACTTCGCCCACTTCATTCAAGGTTCCTGGTTCTTCTGAAAATGAATGCCAAGGTGTTGTACCTTTAGCAAACGAATATGAAGGTATCATAACGAATGAAATACAAGACAAGGACGTCGGAGGGGTCGAATCAATAGGAAATTCTTCGGAGAAGATCTTGAAAGAGCCAGTTTGGGAGGCCACGAAGTCTCGATGGGAAGAAGATTTCCCATTGCCTGCAGATTTCGACGATGAAGCTGCTATGTTGCAACAAGCTTTTATTCAATCGAACTACGACGAGTTTATGAGATTAAAGGCCTACCATGGTACCTCGTGCTCAGCCGCCTCTGGAAACAACATCATCAGCAAAAACCCTAATACTACCACTATAAAAAGTCTTGAGAAGTTGAACGAAGAAAACATTGAGGAAATTAGCCTTGACGACCAACAGGACGCTGATGATGAGACTTCTGATACATCCGAGTCTGAATCTACCCACTACAGTGCCGATAGCGGCGATGGAAAAAGTGAACTAGACACAAACAAGACAAGCGAAATAGAAAATTTGACTGAAATAAAGGATGTTTCAGTTGCATCGATTAAGGGTGTAATAAAGGACCTTCTCATTACTACTGCAGAGCAATTGAAACAAGATTTTACAAGTATTTCTCAGAAGAAGTGTTGTGAATCAACTGGAAACGAGTCCGACAATTCTATGGACGAAATGTTTCTCGCGACTACTGCAGCCGTGGTCAGAGGATCATTCGAATTCTTGAAGTTGGACGCGTTTGGCGAGGCATTGAAACAAGCAACGGAAGAAGTATTGGCAGACGGAAAAGAAAAAGAGCGTCGTTGTGTCACTTCATCTGGATCCACAGCCTCTACCGAACAAAATATCTCTAAGAAATGGGCTATCGCCTATCCAGAGACCATTCCAATGCGTTCCTTTGAATTGATGCGAGCCATCGATATCCTTATCTCACTCACAAGGTCTACTCCACACAACCATGCTATCCTTGAAGATACCCCTGAATGTATGTACGATGCGTTAGTAGTCTTTATACAGTACTACTTGGACACGTGCACCCACAGAAAGTGCATTGAAATCGTTGAGGGACATCCCCTTGATCAACAGATTCAATGGATGAAAGAAATGCACTCTTTTGTTTATTGGTGGAAGGACGTGTGTGACGACTTTGAAATATTATGGGGAAAAGGAGTACTGAACAAGGAGGTTCTAAAGAACTTTGATGTAAATGGAGTCAATGGAAATGAGGATGAGGCTGGAAGAGATTAAAATTTGTGTATGGGAAGTTTGTGAATGTGGCAGTAGGATAACTGCTGCCACAGCTTCACTCCGAAATTGTCTTGAAGCTTATTAGGGAGTATCTTTATTGATGCAACACTTGTAGTTTTTAAGATTCAATGAGAAATGAAATATGATTTACCTTCACGTTTCTTGTGTTCCCGTGTTCTGGTTGCTTTCAAAGAAGTTTGCCTCAAGGTCAACAAGTTCAATTATTGCTATTAAGATAAATTATCTCGTATTTCGATTTCGATCTGGTATGTGTTAAAAGTGATCATTACGCTTTGTTGTTGGTTTGTGAGAAGAAATACTGTTGATTAGAGTTTTAACACGATAAACTTTATGAGAAACTCGGAAACGTTTACAGTCACATGATAGTCACGTGTTATGGTGCTTCGATCGGTATCTTCATCGAAGCTCGGAAGCTCCTCCAAGCAGGAATCCAGCAACATATGATTTGATCATCTTGAACATCTTGAGCATCTTAATCCGTGATCTTTTCCTTATACATACTGCTTTCCAACAACACTACGGATCCCACTCTCGATCCATTCCCTCGGAAGTCATTATCCCGATTTTCACAAACTCAAAAGGAATCAATTTCCAACCGAACATCCACAACACATCATAACCGTTTTACAGGCAAATCCAAGTATCCAAACATATCTAGGTATGATCTGCATAAAGTATCCAAGTATGCTTTCACCGCAAGCCTCCTCACGCCAAGTTCCACACCGGCAATGGCGTACATGTCTGCATCTCCTCTGTCCGCTAACCTTACCCCGCATTCTACATTGGCAATTCCTATGACAGGTGCGGACTATGATGATCATTTAGAACAAAGTAAATCCAAGTGAACACGAAGAGATGCACGGAAGAGGGGGCATTGTAACGTCGTATGGCATCGTGGACAATCAAGATAAGTGGATACTTCGGGTTTGCATAAACAGATGTCTATACCCCAGGAACTTGGGGACTTCTATCTTCGGTTCGGAATTGAGTCTCTCGGTTTGAGGTTTTCTTCATATCGAAACGTTAATCATGGGGGTTTTATCACAATGGAAGGCTTTACTCGTGAGTCTGGTAATGGTGGCAGATATCGGGGTTGGAAGTCAATTAGAGGATGAATTTGATGTTTTTAAATATGTCGATCCATTCATTGGAACGGCGAAAGGAGGTGTGTTCTGCTCATTTCCTGAAATGTATTGAGATTTGTTACTGACATATAGGCAGGTCATGTGTTTCCTGGAGCGACTTTACCCTTCGGTGAGCTTTGTTGACTCCTCCCTTGATGATTTGAGCTCATTCGTTTCAAGGTATGGCAAAAGCAGTTGCAGATGTGAACAATCCCGATGAAAAGCAAGGAGGTTTTGCCTCGGATAATTCCGATATCACAGGATTCTCTCATATGCATGATTCCGGCACGGGTGGTGTGAGTAACACAATTTCATGAGAAAATTACTTCTCTTTGCTGACCCAAAACGCAAGTCACCATCACTTGGAAATTTCCCGCTATTTCCACAAACAGGCTGTTCTGGAGATATCTTGAATAACTGTTTCTTCACCAAGACCGATCGAGCATCGAGAAGAATTAATGGGACTGCCGAGGCCCACCCAGGATACTTTGCCGTGTCATTAAACACTTCTATCCATACAGAAGCAACTGTCACAAATCATACCGCATTGTATCGATTTACTTTTCCTTCGAATTCGTCGTCCAATGATTTGTATTCTACCCAGCAGGCCCCTCTACCTTATAGTCCACTTATCTTAGTAGATCTAACAGATTTGCCGGAGTCTCGTTCAAACGGTTCCGTCCAAGTCGATCCAGATACCGGAAGACTTTCCGGAACCGGAACATTCAATCCTTCATTTGGAATTGGAAGCTATGATTTACATTTCTGTGCCGATTTCAAAGGTGCAGAAATTCGAGACACGGGAGTTTTCATAAACAATCGTGCCGGAAGTGAACCCAAGAATCTCAGTGTTACCCCCGATGGTATAAATTCACCTCCTCTTCCAGCAGGAGCCTGGACACAATTTAAAGCACCAGCCAACAACCAAATCCTTGCTCGGGTAGGCGTTTCGTTTATCAGTATCTCAAAAGCTTGCCAGAACGCCGAGAACGAAATACCAGATTTTGATTTTGAGAAAGTGTTGACTGCTGCTGAAGATGCGTGGAGAGAAAAACTTTCCGTTATTAGTGTTGATGCTACAGGTGTCAGTGATGAGCTCCAAACTGTTTTTTGGTCCGGCACTTATAGGGCTATGATTTCACCACAAGATTATACGGGGGAGAATCCATTGTGGGACAGCGAGGAACCTTATTATGACTCTTATTATTGTATTTGGGATTCTTTCAGAAGTATTCATCCGTTGTTGACTTTGTTGGATCCCTATAGTCAGACACAGATGGTGAGAAGTTTGATTGATGTTTATCGTCATGAAGGTACGTTCTCGAAATTCTCCTGAGACTAAATCGTTTGCTGATGCTTTACTAGGAAAACTTCCGGACTGTCGAATGTCGCTTTGTAAAGGATTTACTCAAGGAGGTTCAAATGCAGATACTGTTTTAGCAGATTCTTATATCAAGAATATCACTCAAGATGTGGACTGGGCAACCGGTTATGAAGCAGTGGTATCTGATGCTGAAGGTGCGTTTACCAAATTAAATTTCATCAACACATCATTAATAAAATATAGATGAGCCAGCAGACTGGTCCATAGAAGGTCGAGGTGGCCTTACCAGCTGGAAAAATCTCGGTTACATCCCCACCGATGACTTCGATCCTTACGGAGTAGGACCTATGACCCGCTCCATCTCCCGAACAGTAGAGTACGCTTATAACGATTTCTGCATTGCCGAAATAGCCCAGGGGCTCGGCCACACCGGCGACGTAGAAAAATATCTCGGACGCGCTGAGAATTGGAAAAACATTTACAAAGCCGACCAAACCTCCTTCGTCAACGGATCCACCGACGCACCCGACTCCATCGTCGACACTGGCTTCACCGGATTTCTCCAACCCCGCTATTTAAACGGAACATTCGGTTACCAAGACCCCACCCTCTGCTCTCCCCTCTACAACTTCACATCCTGCTACCTCAACCCCAACGGCCACGAAACCTACGAAGGCAGTTCCTGGATGTACACCTTTTTCGTACCCCAAGACATGGCCTCCTTAATCACCACTCTCGGCGGTCCCTCCCTCTTCACCTCCCGCCTCTCCTATCTACACACCTCAGGGCTCCTCTACATCGGCGACGAACAAGCCTTCCTCCCGGTCTTCCAATTCCACTATGCCGGACGCCCCGGCCTCTCCGCCTACTTCTCCCACTTCTACATCCCCTCCCAATTCAACACCACGGTCGCCGGCATCGCCGGAAACGACGATTCCGGCGCCATGGGCTCCTTCACCACGCTCTCCATGATGGGTCTCTGGCCCGTCTCAGGCCAAAACGTCTACCTAATCACCCCTTCCTATTTTCCCGAAGTTAGCGTCAAGAACGGACAAACGGGCAAGACAGCCACGATCAAAAATTTCAATTTCGATAGCGCGTACGAGAATATCTATATCCAGAGCGCGACGCTTAATGGCGAGCCGTGGACCAAGAATTGGGTGACGCATGATTTTTGGCTGGAGGGTGGCGTCTTGGAATTAACGCTGGGGAGAAATGAAAGTGCGTGGGGAACGAGGGATGAGGATTTACCGCCCAGTGCGTCGACGATGGAGTGGTAGGCGTGGATGAGGAGGCTGGATACTAATAATAGGTGAGGGAGGGAAACAAGAGGCGGGATGTTGTTAGTAATATGAATGATCATGCGTGTATTAAATCTGGGGTTGAAATACACTAGTTGCTAGCTTTCTGCTGTTTGGCTAGTGATTGTTTTGAACTGGACAGAAAATGTCAAAGAGATATAGCAAACAATGCTAATTAATCCATCTCAAATCCATCTTTTTCATCAAAGTTTTTATAGGTCCGAAATTTTATGTTTTCGAAAGGTTGTCAAACTTCCTTTCTATATCATCTAATCAAATGTTATACATACAAATATAAATTCATTCCGTGATCTTCGGTCTTTTGACCCCTTGCGCCGTCGATTTCCCATTGCCCCTTCCTCTTCCCTTTCCCCTGCTTTGTCCTTTTCCCGTTCCCTTCTCCGAATCTACTGCTTTGAGTATAGATCCTATGAAGCCCTCTCCCTTCTCTTCCTCCTCATCGTCATCATCACGATCATCATCTGCTCCATTGTCTTCCATCTCAGCATCCACATCCGCATCTTCATCCCCCTCTCCCTCATCCCCATCCACCTCCTCCACCGCTCTTTTCCTCCCCTTTCCCTTCCCTGTCCCCTTTTTACTCGCGTCTCTTTTCGCTTGCGCCTCAACACTCAATTCATTCTTCTTCGCCCACTCCCTCGCATTATCCGCAAAGGTACCTCTATCCTTCAACGAATTCGCAGCACCACCCCTCTTCTTCGCCCTTAATTTCCCGACCGCCTCTCTCATCCTCTTGCTCCCCTTTTCCCTGCCCTCACCCGCACCACCTCCCACTCCCCCCACCCCAACACCACCCTCAAAGTATCTCGTAATATTGCTCTGCGTGCCCTCCGTTTCCCGTCGATTCATATCCCTAATCACCGGCACTAAAATTTCATCCACCCGTTCTTGACTCCAGCCCACGGTCGTCATCAAGAATTCTCTCAATTGTCCTAGATCTGGGACTCCCCATTGGAAAGCCTCGGCCGTACTATCAACATCCGGTTTGAGATATGCTTCTGTGACCGCCTGACTCGGGAATGCCGGGGGTAGAAAGAGTTTCGTCGCTTGTGAGCGACGGAACTTTTTGCGGAAGAGTGTTGGTTCGCTTGCAAGTGGAGGAGTTGTAAGAGGATTTTGAACGAGGGACCACCATTCTTTGAATTCTTCAAGACCGGTATGAGATGGAAATTCCGAGAGTATCTCAACAGCGGTGACGGGTCCAATGCCGGGAATTCCTTCCGTGTAATCGGAGCCTAATAAATGTGCTATAGAAATGAGTTGATCCCTCGAAAGAGAAAGTTCTTTTTCCAGATCGGATGAGAGGTAACACTCAACGAGCTTATTCGAGTTGAATAAATTCTTATAAACTCTCGTTCCGCCAAAAAGGAAAATATCCGAATCATCAGTCACAATGCCATCTACAAGGCCCAGACGGACAAGCTCGGCACATTGAGCTTCTGCTTCCATTGGTGCGGTGATGTAAGGAATACCGAAGAGACGAAGCAGAGTTTGACATTCTGTGATCATGATATGGGACACCTCATCTGCATCTCTACGATCTTTCTTTTGTTGACTTCGCAATGCTTTGAGTTCTTGCTCGTATGAATCGTGGTTTTCTTTTTCGGATTTGTTGTTCAGGGTACTGGCAAAGCGAGCATGTTCCTCTGCTTCGATAGCGAGTTGAGTCATTAGTTCTTCTTCTTCCGGATCACTAAAATCGAATTCATCTGGAATCGCTTCAGCTTCTTGACGATCATATGCATCATCAAAGGGTGGCTTGTCGGATATAGTTGGCCCGGATGGCAAAGTAGATATAGCATTTGCCATTTGAACATCTTCAAACACTGGAGTCGGACTTTTTTTTGCAGAATTTGATAGTTGTGTAGGTTCAGTTGCTTGGAAATCAGGAAGATCCACATCTTCGAAAACAGGAGACGGGGATTTTGATTTCGAAGAAGACACTTCTAGGCTCTCCTCAACGTGAGGTACGGATTCTGAAGCCTTATTAGACTTAGGAGCAACATCCCCATAATCACTCTCCGACCACTCTACCGGTTCATCCGAGTCCTCTAACAAATCAGCCGTATCATCTACACGAAATTCTGCCGGTGGCTGCCTATCCTGAGGAACATCGAACAGCGGCGGTTGAGCTTTAACAGCTTCTGCCAAAGCATCCATACTATTCTCGGCAATATTAGGCGTGGGTGCTTTATCCAAAACTTCCACATCACTATCATTATCATTATCAGAGTCTACATGAATGACTCCATGATCGCGTTGAAAAATCCTCTCGTCTTCTTCCGCTCTTTCGCGATCCTTCGCGTTCAATTCTTGATCTTTCTTGCGCTGCTGCTGGACTTGCGATCTGATATCGTCATTGCCAATTAACCAAGGAGGTAGTGGCTTCGCTTTTTCTTCTTCATCTTCTTTCTCGAAACCACCGGCCAGTTCTTCTTCATCTTCCTCTAGTGGTTCTCCAGCTAATTCTTCTGGTTTCTTTTTGCCGAATAAAGATGATTTGAACTGGATACTCTCGAACGGCAATGGTCCATCAAAAGGGTTCTTTTTGTTCACAACAATTGGTGCTGCTTGACGGACTTTTTCCGGTGCCTTTTGTGACCTTGCTTTCCTCAATGCGGATTGAAAATCCATATCGCTATCACTATCACTACCCACCTCATCAGTCTCTTCTTTCCGTTTCGGCACCGCAGCGTTAGCTCTATTATTAACCATATGAGCAATCATTTTCCCACTCGACTTAGTGAGAGGTCTAGCATCTGCTACTGCTCTTTGCTCATATTCTGGCATTGGGACATCCTCAAATGTAGCTTCTTCCACTTCTTCTGCCTCTTCCTGACCATAGCCTTTCTGGAGTGATAGTTCAATGGCTCGATTTATATGATCCTCTTCGTCAAGTTCTACATCTTCATCCTGATCTTGCTGTAACGACATAGCAATCGCGCGATTGATATTTTCATCCTCGTCATCGTAAGTTGCATTCAAGGAGCTGGGTCCGGGTTGTCCAACTACATCATCCACGAACAGAGAATCCGGATCTTCAGATGGCATTCTTGTAGGTTTTGAATTCGATTTTCTCCTCGAGTTGGAGTACTCTTTCCTTCTTTCAGCAACTTCTCTGGCTTGAAAGTCACTGTAAGTCATATTCCTCCCATCATCTTTGGCTTTCGGTAGCCGATTCAATCCTTCGACAGGAACATCCTCGAAATCGTCTTCCTCGGATTCAGATACCATGTCCACCTTATTATTTTTCCGATCATAATCATCAACATCAATCGGTTTATTCCTATCCCCCACTCCTTTCTCCAAGGAGACCACACCCAAAGCCCAACCACCTTCAACACCATCATTCTTGACCAAAACGTACTCCCTTCCCCTCTCTCCTGCAATTCTACTTGTCCCATTAACCCCAAACATCTGCTCCTCCGAATTCATTCCGTTCAAATTCATCAATCTTTGTGTCAACTCATTTCTCTCCCTAACCCTCTCAATCTGAAATTTCGAGAAAGCCATCCTATCCGGAAACATCTCTTCCAATTGTTCCTTACTCAACCCCATCCTCAATCTACTCCTCAACCTCGCTGCATTCAAGATATTATATCGATCCCCCGCCGGTAAACTCATGAAAAACTCTCCATTAAAATCGATCTTGCTGAAATCATATAAATTCACATCTTCTCCATTATGAAACTGTCTCGCATATTCTTCCAATTCCTCTGCCGACATAATTCTCGGATCTTCCGGTTTACCCATTCCTTCTATACCATTTGTCAGTTCGGGTAAATGATATGCGTCCTTCTTGTAGAATTTTCGAGTCGTTTGGACTTGTTGCTCTGACATCCCTATCTCATCCACATATGCTAATTGTTCTTCCGGCACCACCTCTTCTTCTTCAACCGGTCTGCTTCGTCCCTCCCTTTCCCTCCTCTTTCTCTCACTATCTTCCTCCTCCGCTCTCCTCTTCATTTGTACACCCAACAGCCTCCCTGCAGTCCTAACAGCATCTTCCCTCCTTCCTTCTCTCCTCCTCTTCCTCCCCAATACCGTTTGACGTTTCAATATGGGCGCGCCACCATCAAACACAAAAACTGGTTTAATGCCATGAAACAAAAGTTTGCAGATCCTACGGAAGAAACCCACGATATGCGAATTGCGAAGCGCATTTCCTTCTTTATCGCGCACGGCTTTGAGAAATTGGTAGATCCAGATTGAGGCGTCGACGGCGAGTCGTTTGCGGTTGAGAGCTGGGAGAGGAGTTGGACGCGCGCAGGGTTGCACGATGGTCCAGAGGCCGGTGACACCCATGATGAAGGTGTTGAGTCTTTACGACTGTAGATGAATTGCATATCAGGATTGTGGTTTTCGCGGATCACAAAAATCGTGTCGGCAACCTTAATGTAAAGGTGAGAATAAACAGTAATTGAAGTCAAGTGGAATGAATAACTCTGAATCCTCTGCTACACCCTTATGTGATGGTAGTATATTCATCCCATATCAAATAAAGAGGGTTTCAAGATTCCACAATTCTCATCTCACAATGCGAATTCAAATAATAAACTTCAAAAATCTTAAATCCCACATCCGACTTCTGCCTTCACTTCCCACCTCATCTCACCAAACGCTAACCGCGTAATGACGCACATAGTCCACGCTCTCACGTGACTATCGTTCCAGCTTATCTTATCGCAAAACCCACCAAACTCATTCTCTAGTATCCATTGTTAATTCCCCTCCTAAACACCCCTCTCCCTCTCTTCTCACTCCACATCGACCACCGAACCCACAGCCATGACATCTCTCGCCCCCTCTCCTTCCACAGAGATTTCCGAATCTCCAGCTAGAAAAGAAGCACGCGCATATTTACACAATCTCCTCTGCAAAACCCTACTAGTTCATACAACAGATCATCGTATGTTTCGCGGGGAATTCAAGTGTACCGATTCTGTTTGTTTGCCTTTCTTTAAGATCTCTCTACCCGGGCGGCTCTTTTGTTACACTTAACAGTAGCATAAATATTCCTCTCAATCTCGCGCATACGCATATCCAAAAATCAAAGAAGAAAAACAAGAAGAGAAAGCTAACCCATCCCACACAACCCCAGGACCTCAACGTAATCCTCTCCGAAACCTACGAATATCGCATCCCCCCCGCACCCACACCCACATCCTCCTCATCCACACAACCCCAAGATCCCACCTCCTCCGCCCCGAAATCCCAGTCCCAATCCCAACCCCTCCTGAACATAACCCCCCGCTGGCTCGGTCTCGTCGTCGTCCCCGGCGCCCACATCCTACGCATCGAACTGGAAGAATTCGAAAGCCAAGTCCGCGGTCGCAAATCCTAAAACTCCAAAACCTTACCTCTTCCAATCTACTAGACGAAAACGAGATGCGCTGGTCAAAGGCACCCACCTCCCGCAATGCTCCCGTCGAGACAGAAATGGTTTCTGGCTAAGACAGAAGTACCATTGCATATCATGTGATATCGCATCGCTACAGCTCGGTGAAGGTGGATGCAGAGGTATCAATATGGAGCAGACGACGATCAAACAACCAAGCATAGCCAGAATTCAACTACTTGAGTGATATGAAGCTTAATATCCATACGGTGAGGAGAGAAGATGTGGTGTTTTAAAGGTTGAGATGAATGCTAGCTCAAAATCGGTAATATTTGGGGATAATCTACCACCGAGGGACATCATCGTTGAAGGATTGGAATAATTTTGTGATGATATGGATGGTAGGGACTGCAAATTACCGTCGGTAATGGTTATAAAGTTGGTTGGTAGAATTAGTGGCGATCTGAAGATCATGAGATGAGCATTGTGGATGAATCAAGATACCCATGGAGGACAAATTTGAATACGATAGCTAGGAGTTTCTCAAAAGCAAAAATACCAACTTAAATGATAGAAGCATTAATTAAAAACTACAGATACAAAAGCCTCCAAGCCCAAATCGTATTCCCACCCCACCCCTCGAACCCTTTTTAGCTCCCCAGTTCACCAAACCCTCCTCTGCCCGGTTTCAACACTCGTATTCTCAGATCGTATATGATCAATTACCACCCCGTTCCGATTCCAACATTATCGTCATTAGAGAAAAGAAAAAATCATCGATCCATTCCAAGCAGAGCGGTAATAGTAGCTTTCGAAGCAAAGTTAAAGAAATCTGGGGAATACCCGCCACTAATTCAGTCCGTTCCTTTAACACCGTCACAAGCTGATTATACCTAGACAATCTTCTCATTTAGCATCATTCTTTTCCTGAATTAAAGCGCTGTTCGACCATTATGCAAGCTCTTCTTGACGACCTCTTAGTTCACCATTGGTGATGCTACCTTGATGAGAATGAGCAATCTCCTCTTCCTCCTCCTCATCTTCGTATTCATCACCACCCTTGTGAGCTTCAGCTGGTATCCACAGACCACTCTCATTATCATTCAAAGGTTGATCTTGGCCTGTAAGATCATGACCTTGAGCGTTACGTTGGATGTTGTTTCGTCTACGTTGAGACAAAGTACGAGCGCGAGTAGAAAGGTTGGAAGAGACGGCCGCATTGGAGTTGACCCAGTTGGTCAAAGAATCCTCACAATCTTGGATGATGGCCTTGCTAGCTTCATATCCATCATATGCTTGTCGGGTCTCACCTGGCGTGACAGGGGTGTCATCAACAAGTTCCAAAAGATGTTTTCCGTAACCAGCAATAATAGCGACCTTTTCGCAATGTTCACGGAGAGCATCAAATTGGTAGGTGTAAGCAGCCTTAAGCTTCTCACGAGTGATGTTGGAAAGTTGAGCTTCAGCGACCAAAGATTCGGCCTCAGCACGAACCAGTTCTTGCTCAAGGACGACGATTCGTGGAGATTCTGGCTCCTTGTATTTGAGTTGAGCGATTTGATCAGTGATCTTTTGCTTGCGATCTCTGCTTGGTTGAACGGAAGCCTCAATGTTTCTGATGCTCTTGATGGTAACACGATATTGGTCATAACGATCAACGTATTGGTCCTCAAGTTCACCAATTTCATAGAGCAATACACCGAGCTTGTCGGTAACATCTGATACGTCTTCATCGCAAGCCTCACCCCAAATGGAGAGTTGTTGCTATGCTATGTTAAATTGATGCACTTGAATGTAATGAACAGGATGACTTACTGCTACCTCCATTCTCTCTCTTCCGACAAGTTCCATACTGCGCATGACATTTTTCTCCATCTTCACGAGTTGACCAAGCTTTTTGGAAAGCTCTGGCCCTCTAGTGTTGAGGGCAGAGTGCGTCTTGAGTCGCATAGCATGGCCTGAATTGATAGTTGTCAGTAAATTATCTCTTGAATAGAACAGCGATATCGTTCGTCATAGCTATCGCAATGAGGATTCAAATAAAGTTTCACGATAGCGACAGATATCATGATGCCCGACACAGACACGCCCTATTTTGATATATCTAGGAGAGTATGTCCATTATGTAATCGTGTCTGGAAGGGCTGTACAGAACAACTCGATGTTCTGCCTTTCCCTTGCCTGTCCCTTTTCCTATGTACAGAAACTTCCGAGTACCCCACATCCAACATGTAAAACATATCGCAAACGTCATAGAAGAAATGTACTGACCGAGACCGCTTCTGCCGAAGAACTTTCCAGATTTGGTACTCGAAGGTGGTGGAGGGGGGTTTTGAAGTTGTGAGGCCTGTGAAGAAGAAAGAAGACTCGTCAGTAAAGAGTAAACAATAATTTTGCGAAAAGATATGCCATCGCCAATCGAGTTTGTGTGTATAACTTACAGTGGGAGCCCGCGATTGTCTCATAGAATATGTGCGATGCATTGTGAAGGCTGTTGGATTGATTTACTCGAAGGGTATCTTTGTTGTGTTGCGGGCAAAGGGCTTCTGTCGATTTGAAGCTTTGGATTAGGTGTATAGTCAATACAATCCTTAAATGGATAGATTAACAAATGAATAAATTGATTGAAACCAGCAGGAAGCTTCGGGGGTGATAGATGGTTGATATTGCCTTCTTGCGGATCTGGAGAGTTAAGTGGGACGGATAGACTTTTAGTCCATGACGATCATACGAATCCTGGGTCATAGTTGAGAATGGTTGTAACAAGGAAATGACGTCGATTGCTTACTCAATGGGGAAAAAAGGGTGAGTTTCATCGGTTGACCAATCAAATCGTTCTATTTGACTAGCCGGAAACATCAACAGGATTTTGATATGCAAGGACGAACGAACTCCAACATTATGCGTATGGAGTATGATCCATATCACATATCATATCACATACCGGTATTGGCTATGTGCTAGGTACTTACCTATGTATGATTCTTTATATACAAGTACCTAGTAGATAGCTTGATCTTCATCATGGTTATATATTAAATCTTCAATGTACACTGCGAGTTCTTGATTGATATTAACTTATATTATAAGATGCTCCACCACCATACATTGTTTCAATTGAGCATTCGTTCGCATATGCATGGAACATGTCAAAACGTTGATCAACATGACTTCAAATAATAAGGTTCATGAACTGCAAAATCAAAGCACGACTAGACTTCATGGCAAATTCAAAGCGAAATTCAAATCATCAATTGTCAACATCAACATCAACGTCAACGTCAACTCCAACTTCAACTTCAATACCCACGTCATTCTTTTCTTCATCCTACTTTTGACAATCAATCCAAGACGGGACCTTTTCGGAAACGCTATCTATATCCGTTTCGTCAACATCCAGTCCCGATCCCGTGCTTCTTCAAGAGATTCTGGTCTAGCGCCGGCAGCTATCGATCTTGACTATTACCTCAGTTCCCCCCTTTTTTTCTCATTCAAACCAAGGAACGGGGCTGTGTTTGGCAAACGGATTTGAGTTTATCTATGCCTTGGCAGATCGTTGGGTGCTTGGTCTCGTCAAACCCAATACGCGTGATTGTGACTGAGGGTCACGTGTCGCATGTATTTGTATAATTTATCTTCCCTTTGCTTCTGTGTTCCCTTCCTACTTACTAGATGTTCTTTCGTTGAATCTTCCAGTCTTTGTCTTTCTCGAACAATCACATTGCTTTGATTGTCTATCGTTTCACCAATTATACAAGTTTCCCAGAATTCATCCCTTGGGGACTTCTGGTCTGTCGATATACAAGGAGAGTAGTCATGATCAGTGGGAATACTAAGTAATTATCTATATTGTATATAGTACCTAGCAACCTTTGAACCGAATGCTCTCGACGAATGATGTTATATGCTAGGTAGGTAGTAAATGAAGTCAGACTTCTTGGGCTCGAGCAAAACAGTTTAATCTTAAGGCTGGAAGTCTCCCAAAATCTTCGATATCCGGATTGGTGAAAGAGATGGAAAATTGACCTTGTAATTTTCAGAAGTACTAGGTAGTTCTTTGACTTACTCGACTAAACATGAACTTGATGTTCGTGAAATCTCATGAATCCTCAAGGACAATCGAATTCCCTCAAACCGATAAGCAAGAGTAACATTTCTTTGTTGGTTATTGACTGCTGAATACAAAGGAATACAAAAGGAATTGATAATTCATAGAACCATCACCACAAAGAAAATACCAATTTTGACTTCCTGTCTGTAACTACGCAGACATACAGAACAACCCCCTCAAATCCCATATATAAACACCAACTTCTTCCCCAAATCCATTCATCCCCCGAGTCCATCGCAACCGCAAACCTACTTTCTTGGAACAGATAAAGACACGAAGAGAAAGTAGCAACCAACCCCCAAAACCCATCCAAGATGAAATTCATAACTCTAGCCAGTCTCTCAACTCTCATCACACTCACCACCGCAATCCAACTACCAAACCCAGAACCACACTGTTCCAACCGCACCCATCCATCGCACAGTAATCATACTAGAGTGTCGACTTATCAACCCATACCAACAACGCTGATCACATTACCCGGTGGTGTCTTTGTGCAGACGACGATGCCAACCGCCACTCAAACTACAGATTGAGAATGCTTCGAAGATCGAGGGCGAGATGTATATGAATGGTAAGTAACCGATATCCCTGCTACGTGCACGACCCTACTATGTGCACACTATTATTATTTATATAGAAAATTGAATTAAAAATTGAAAAAGTGATATTATAATTTGAAATTCAAAATTGAGATAATTGAAATAAACTTATATAATATTTTGAAATAAAAAAAATAAAAATCTCAAAAATTATTATAATAATAATAATAAATAAGATATCAACTTTTATAAAAAAAATTATTTATTTATTAATATATTTTATAATATAATTAAAAATATAAGTTTTTTTTAATGAAATTATGAAATTCTATATATTATAATATAAGATATTTGAAAAAAACTAAAGTTTTTTATCGAAAATTTGAAATTATATTAATATTAAATTCTAATATATTTTATAAAAAATATTTTAATAATTGATTATTAATAGAATAATGAATTTATAATATTTTATTCTATTTTTAAGTTATATAATAACAATAATCTTTAAAAAAATATAAATATATTAAAATCTATAATTTATTAATATTATATTTAAATAAAGATTTATAAAAACTTATTAAGAATTTGATTTAATTTAATAATAAATATAATATAAGTATTCATTAATTTTTTTAAGAAATTTCAATTTTAAACTTTTTTGTTATATGGTTTTTAATCAATTATTAAAGAATGAAACTATATTAATTAGATTTTGATTTAATAAAGAATTTAAATTTTGAAAATTAAATATTAATTAATATTAATCAATTTTTATTTAAAATAATTTTTTTAAAAATGAATTAATACTCTTTTTGAATTAAAGAAAACTTCTTTTTAAAGAATTTATTTAAAAGGATTTTTCTATAATTAGAATCTTATTATATATAATAGAGTTAAGATTAAAATAATTTTAAAAATAAAATTTCAAAAATAAAAGATATTTTTTAATAATTTTCTTTTATTAATCAAAACTTTATATCTTTTAATATTTAATATAATTCCTTTTTTAAAAAACTATTTTTTTAAATCTTTAATATTAAAATATAAAATTTAAATTCAATTTTAAAAAATTTTTTAACTTTTTTAAAAATATTATAAATAATTAAAAAAAAAAAATCTAATAATCTATATTAAATTTAATTCTTTTGATTTTTTTGATTTTTTTGATTTTTGTATAATATTATTGATATCAAAAAATCTATAAAAATTTATTATAATTTTATAAATAGATTCTAATATATTATTTATTAAGAAATTATATATCAAGATTTTATATTCTCTTTATTTAATTATTCAATCAATTCTTTATTTAATAATTCGAAATCCTTATAAATCTAAATTGATAATATTAGTTAATTATTGAATTAAATTTTATATTATTATAATGATTTTTAAATTTTAAATTGATTTTTGTTTTGATATAAAAAAAGTGTGCATATAGTAGGGTCGTGCACGTAGTAGGGATATCGGTTAATAAGAGAAAAAAGAAAAGAAAAAAAGAAAAAAAAAAAAAAAAGATTAGGTCTTTTTGTTCTTGTTCCTGGAGTTGATGGAGGTTTCTTATTATCTTGAATTAATATCAATATTTGTTTTTCCACTTTGAATCTTGAATCTTGAATTTTCAATTGTGCTATTATATCGTGTCTCGAGGCTTTTGGATCATGATACCTACCTATCTGTCATATATAACCTTACCTTTTACTTAACCTACATTTTACATGACTATATGGCATAATATCATCCCATCCCTTTTAATGAGATGAACATCTATCAGTCTTCCTATTACTCCATTTTTATGCAGATCTCCTCTACGATTTTGAGACGACACGTGATCATTTTGCTCATATCATATCACATCGTAAGATACATATCAAATATCCTCAGTATCGCAAGCAACATTATGATCTGAGTGAAAACTTTGCTAGATCCTTCTTAATCATTTCCTCTCATTACTATTGGTGTTAGCATATCTCATTTCCATCCATGTCTTCCCATTACAATGTACAGAAAAGCTCTTTCGACATCCCTTCCCTTCACTTTACTTCACTTAACTAAGTTCACCTCCCTTCTCCAAGCTCTCTAGTCATAACGAGAATTTAAGACCGTGCGACAGCAAGCATGGCATGGATACCGTAATCGACGATACGAGCGAAAGATAACAGAATCAATTAATCGTGATCTACAACGCAGAGACTCCGAGATAAGAAGATGGGACTGAATTGAATCGAATTGAATTGAGTTCCTTCTATTCCATCAGCACGATTGAATTACATACTCGAGTGTGCTCGCACAATCAAAAAAATAACAAGATTTGTCCAGATAAGGTTATTGAAGAATCATAATCAAGCGGCCCTGGTACGATGAAAAGGCACATTATTCCAGGTACTCTCATCTCATCTTATTATTCAGCTACGAGGTACTCTACCTCGTTTACGGTGTACCTGCTCATCGTCGTTATTGACCAAAAGCTTGAATCCGGAATCCTGCAGATAAACGGCCATTGACCATGGATCATGACCATAACCATCATCGTAACGAGGTAACCATCCAAAAAGCGGGGAAGAGCTATTGCGGAGTTACGGAAATTGTCTTACTCATTGAGGAAGTTGATAGGTCAATTGCAAATCATCAAAAGTCGTTGAGAGGTTGACTACATTGGATCTAATCCTGAATGGGAAGGTGCTCACCGCAATGGAGTACCGATGATTAAGCTTTTGGTGGTCCTTGGCAGATGCACCTGCCGCATATGTTATAAAGCTTCAAAGCTACCCTGGTGTACCTTATTACATGGCTCGGATGATACTCTTTCGTATCACATCGGCTTGCCATGGCGGGGCATGTCAATATCATTGTGAACGATCATTCGCTCAGACAAGATCTTCATCTGCAAGTACCATAATTGTGCGGGCGACATACATGAGGGTTGCCAGGTACAAGGGGAAATTCGATGTTGTGTGATCCGAGGTGTTGATGGCAAAATAAAATTGACAGAGGTTGGGGAAAGTGTTAATAAAGAGCTACATTTCCTTACCGTCATGTTGGTTGTTCTGCTGACTGTTCACCTCCTTCTCTAGCCACCGCTTCTTTCCTCCTTCCTTTCCTCACCGTTTCTCCCTATTCATTTTTGAGGATTCAATCGATTGCCCGTCAATTGATATCATCAAGCTCCTTCAATCATGATGTATCCCAAAACCGCCATTTGTGCGGGTTTGCTTTCCCAAGCTCTCCCAGCATATGGTGCCGTCATGGAGAAATTGGCTGCAGCACCTAGCGGGTGGACTGCTGCTTCGGAAACAGATTCAACTGCAGCCATCACCCTCACAGTTGGTCTCGCTATGCAGAATCTCGATCAATTGGAAGCCAAACTTCTTGCCGTTTCCACACCAGGAAACGCAGAGTATGGAAATCATCTCGATATCGATGAGGCCAATGCTTTGTTTGCCCCTTCTGCGGATGCAAGCAGCGCGGTTACTTCATGGTTGACAAGCGCTGGTGCTCGAAATATAGTGAGCGATGGATCGACCATTTCCTTCGCCACCACAATTGAAAAGGCCAATTCAATGCTTAATGCGTCATTCAAAAGCTATACAAGTAATGGCGTAACGAAAGTTCGAACTACTCAATACTCCGTCCCGGATGACGTTGCCGAACACATCGAGCTCATCTCTCCAACAACTTACTTCGGAAAGACAGTCGCGAATGCGCCAACTAAGGTCACAAAGAGAACTACTTCACCTTCGAAAGTAACAGTTGATGCTTCTTGCTCAACATCCATTACTCCTAAGTGCATCAAGGAATTATACAACATTGGAAATTATACCCCCTCAGTTTCATCCGGTAGCAGAATCGGATTCGGTAGTTTCCTCAACGAATCAGCTCTCTATGCCGATCTCTTCCAATATGAGAGTTACTTTGGTATCCCAGAACAAAACTTCACAGTTACTCTCATCAATGGAGCTACCAACGATCAAAATGAAGCTACTGCTTCAAGTGGTGAAGCAAACCTTGATGTTCAAAACATCATTGGTGTTGCTCATCCTTTGCCTGTTCAAGAATTCATCACTGGTGGCTCCCCACCATTCATCCCTAACATTGACTTTCCACTTCCGGCCAACAATTCCAATGAGCCATATTTGCCATACTATGAGTACTTGTTGTCTCAACCAAACTCTGCTTTACCACAAGTCATCTCAAACTCTTATGGTGATATTGAAGATGTACGTTTTCTCCGATTCTCTTTGTCCTTCATCAGATGCTTCATTTGCTAACCCATCATTCAGACAGTTCCATATGCCTACGCTGTACGAGTTTGCAACTTGATCGGTATCATGGGTCTCCGTGGTATCTCCGTCCTTGAATCCTCAGGAGACACAGGAGTAGGAGCCGGTTGCGTTGCAAACGATGGTCTCAACACTCCATACTTCCAACCTCAATTCCCTGGTACATGCCCATACATTACATCTGTAGGAGGTACTCAAGCTGTAGCTCCCGAAGTTGCTTGGGATGATGGTTCAGGAGGTTTCTCAAACTACTTCCCTACTGCTTGGTACCAAGTAGCTGCTGTTGATGAATACTTGAGCAAACACATTAGTCCAAGCACCAAGGAATACTATGAGAGCTACACTAATTTCTCAGGAAGAGGTTTCCCTGATATTTCGGCTCATAGTTTGACTCCTGAGTATGTTCTCACGCCCTATTAAAGATTAATAAACACTCACTAACCTGAAACTAGTTACCAAGTTGTTTACGATGGCAAACTTTCTCCTTCAGGTGGAACCTCCGCCGCTGCTCCTGTCGTTGCTGGTATTCTCGGTCTTCTTAACGACGCACGATTCAAAGCAGGAAAACCAGCTTTAGGATTTGTTAATCCTCTCCTTTATCTTCTCGGCAAAGGAGCTCTTAACGATATCACCGGAGGAGCTGCTATTGGATGCAATGGTGTCAATGGACAGACTGGCACGCCAGTACCTGGAGGAGCAGTTATTCCATACGCGAGTTGGAATGCGACAAAGGGATGGGATCCAGTTACAGGATTGGGAACACCAAACTTTGAGAAATTGAAGAAACTCGTCTTGAGCTATTGAACTCGTTCCCGACAAAGTGGATCAGTTGATGATGGGTTGAGGAGCTAGAGATGAAAAGGTTCAAAAGCCTTTGGAGGATTTGTATATAACTTACGCAGAAACGAATAATTGCAATAGTAACGTAAATGATAATTGTTAAAAAGCATGGTCTCTTCCCATTATAATTCATCATGTTGCTTTTTCATGATCAGACACCTAATATACGAGTATAGGTATCGGTACACAAAGTATAACATAACATGTAATTAGATATCTAACCGAACCGAACCCGAACGGACCAGACCAGATCCGATCGGGTAAAGATACCATCCTCTTCCCTAATGGGTATTGGGCACTGGGTAGGTAGGTACGTGGTCGGTACGTACGTGGTTGCATAGATACCGGATAACCTTAGATAACCTTAGATATCGTATCATTAGAAAATAATACATCCACCTATGATATGCTTACGTATGATAGATATGTGGGTAGGTAGGTAGGTAGGTATCTTACGAGTATCTTACATTATATCTTATGTTTTATATCGTGATGTCATGGTATCATGCTGTGAGACGGGGTAGCATTACCCCGGAGGAAAATTTATATACAGCTATCTAGTTGTAATCGTAGACTCGCAGGTAACCAATCTAGCTGATAACTTTGTCACTATGTCTAATTGTGAAGATTGAGTCGGAGTTGAGATACTTTGGGATGCCTGGGGTTTGTAATTGGTGTTCATGATAAGGCAGAAAAAATAAATAAATTCAATAAGGTTAGAGATCTGAACTTTGAGATTTGGAGCTCTGGAATTGAGAATCATTTTGAAGGTTTGATTTACGCACCTAGTATGTTATGGAAGAAAGGAGAAGGAGGTTTCCTACTGGAGCTGAGCTGAGAGGAAGGAAGGGAACTGATGACGATGACGATAGATTGCATATTCGATAGGGATGTACTGGGGTTATATGCAATGCAATGCATGAACTACTAGGTACTTATCTATCTATCCAGATACATCCGGAGTCGGGGTTGTCTGTTGGACAAATCGTCTTGTTATGTCATGTGAGGGAAGAAAGAGCTGTGTTACTTCTTCTTTCCTTTCTGCCCTTTCTTTCTTCGTTGCTTTTACTTGGTACTATTCACGATTGCTGTCTCTTGTTTTTGCAATTGAAATTGCGATTGTGTGATTCTCTTTTATTCTAGAGTTTCATACTCTGATTACCTAGGTGGTAATTAAGGAAAGAAATTGATCTCCCCGAAGTGCAACTCTCAAATCACTCACTGCCCCGAATCGAGACGGCAACACCGCGAAGAATTTCTGTTTAGGAAACGAGCAAGATGTTGTTGAATATTAGACAAATAGTCGTTTTCCTTTGGTTTTTCGCAACGACAATTCTAGCAGGTCGCTTTTCGGATTTCTCGCATGCGAAGGGGTATCATCCGGATTTGAAAGATAGAGTGGAGGGGAATAGGAAGAGGAATCATCCTGGGAATGGGCATGGGTATGGTAATGGGACGGAGGGGTTTAGATTCCTGAATAAACATACGGAGGGTAAGTTTAGCTGGGGAGTTTTGAGATATTTGGAGAGGGATGGAGGAATTGGGAGAGGGGAGGAGGGAATGTTACATGGTGCTGTGTGGTGAGATTCAGAGCTAACGAATGACATTGCTTAGAATATAGAGTTAAATCTCTTCCCGATATTCCTTTTGATATCGGAGAAATGTATGCGGGTTTAATGCCAATTGATATGAAGAACAAATCAAGAGGGCTTTATTTTGTCTTTGAACCAACGGTTGGAGAACCGGTTGACGAAGTTACCATTTGGTTGAATGGAGGACCTGGTGAGTTGTACTTGTAGCTTACTTTGATATTTGGGATGGAAAAGTGTAAGGAAGAAGCTGATTTTCAAAATAGGCTGCAGTTCTTTAGAAGCCTTCTTCCAAGAAAATGGACGGTTTATTTGGAGTTGGGGAATGTATACTCCGCAGATTAATCCATATTCTTGGGTTAACCTTACGAATGTTCTTTGGTGTGTACAAATACTGCTCTTACTGTATCCATCTGAGAGGAACCTATGACTAACAGTGAAAAGGGTTGAACAACCAGTTGGGACAGGATTCTCGATTGGTGAAGTGACTGCTACAACTGAAGAAGATATCGCAGAGGATTTTGTCAACTTTTTCTTGAATTTCCAAAAGACGTTTGGGATTAAGAATTTCAAGATATATGTTACAGGAGAAAGTTATGCAGGGAGATATGTCCCGTATATATCATTGGCTATGTTGGAGAGAAATGATACGAAGTATTTTGATGTGTCTGGTAAGAATTTTCCAGTCATCGAATTGCAAGTGATTCTATCACTAACATCAAATAGGAGCTTTAGCCTATGACCCCGTCATTGGCTCCTATGTATATGCCCAACAAGAAGCACCAGCCGTTCCATTCCTTCTCCAGAATAATAACATATTCGGTCTCAACGCAAGTTTTGTAGCTCATTTAGAAGCGCTTCATGAATCATGTGGCTATTCGGATTTCATATCGCAATATTTAACTTTTCCACCATCAGGTGTTCAACCCCCTAAATACTTCGACTACAACAATGAGACTGATCTAGCATGTGATCTCTGGGGATCGATCTACAATGCAGCATACGGACCAAACCCCTGTTTCAATGTTTACGAAATCGTTACTCAATGTCCTCTTCCATCCGATCCACTAGGTTATCCAACGGACTTACAGTATCTATATCCAGGATTCGATCAAATCTATTTCAACCGCACAGATGTGAAAAAAGCCATGCATGCACCCATGGAAATCGACTGGAGCGAATGTTCCGGCCCCGTATTCATCGGAGGAGACGATGGCGAAGGAGGACCCGAGCAAGAAGGTGATCTCAGTGCAGATCCTATTCAATCCGTTCTCCCCCGCGTCATCGAAGCCACCAATCGTGTTCTCATTGCTAATGGAAATCTTGATTACGAAATCCTCACCTATGGCACACTTCTCGCAATTCAAAATATGACGTGGGGAGGAAAACTGGGGTTTCAAGAGAAACCGGAGAAGCCGATTGTAATTACGTTGCCGGATTTGCAGTATGGGAATTCGTTTATTGATGAGGGGTTTGGACCGGTGGATGAACCGCAGGGAACGATGGGAGTGCAGCATTTTGAACGCGGGTTGATGTGGGCGGAGACTTTTCTCAGTGGGCATATGCAGCCGCAATTTCAGCCCAGGAGTAGTTATAGACATTTGCAGTGGGTTTTGGGGAGGATTGATGAATTGTAGATAGATTTTTTCAATTGATTGGCACGTAAGAACTTGAGACTGGACTGGTAGATGTGAAGACTGGGGGATTGATGAATTTATATTATGTTGATGAGGAATGAGTGGCGAATGTGGAATCTTTTGATAGTGGTTTGTTCATTTTTTAAAGGGTGAGATATTAATAGGTACCTAGTTAGATGTAATTCAAACTGATGATATATATATATATATATTTGTTGGAAAGTAGTCAATTCGCTGTCCTGTGAAGGAAGTAGTGACTTAGCCATGCGGGTCGTGGTATTTCAATCTCCAATCTCCAAACTTCAAAAACTGAGCTGATAGATAATTGATAATTGATGATGCATAATGAAGGTAGGTAAATTTTCCCTTCTTCTAATATCTAATTAACTAAAGTCTTATATTGCTCTATTAAGACGAAGAGTGAAGAGTGGAGAGTGAAGATTCCATTTCACTCATCAACCGGCTTCGTATCTAGGTATGTTTCGATGATCGATTATAGCAATGAATAGATGAATAATTGAATGAATGAGTAATTAAAGAGATATATGAATAAACAAGTAGCTCAATAATATATATCAACATCAACATCAACATGCCTCATACGATATCTGTATCTGTATCTGTATCTTTTCCCATCTCATGATTATACATCCTGCTAATTTTTACTCTCCCCATTTTCCTCTTCCACCTCCCATCCATCCCCAAAGCCTCACTTCCACCTCCCCCCTCCCCCATATCTCCCTGCTCCATACATTCTCCATCCCCTCCACTGCGCTCTCGCAATCCCACATTTGCACTCTAACACGGAATGCTTTCATCCAACACAATCAATCGCAGCGCTTGTGCGAGTAATTTCCCCTTCCCACCGTACAGTGCAGTGTGTACATAGTCCACGCCTTCGTTGTCTACCCACAGAATACAGAATAGAGATACAGATACAGATACAGATACAGATACAGATACAGATACACCATACACCATACAACCCAATCCAGCGGGAGGAAGATACGCCATCGCAAAACCACCCTCCCCTCTCCTCCTCCTCCTTTCCAACTACCCATTCCACTATACAGTACATCCCCAAACCAATCAATCAATCCTCCTCTACTCTACCGGCAAGCAAGCAAGCTTCCCCCCCATTCCCGAACCCCTCCATCTCATATCAATCACCCAGCCACTCTTCCGATAGAAAACCACATCGCTGCTATGCAACAAATCTCAAATCTTACATCTAATATCAGCAAACCCATCATATTCCATAAGCCTCTCGACCTGTCTTGAGCAGCTCGCGTCTTCATTTCATTTCATACAATCATGATGGGGATTGTAGGGGTGGGAGAATCGTTCATCGCTGTTGAACTTGTAGGCTTCGGGCTGGACTACTCTTGGTTAATGTATGCAGATACGGCTTCGTGTACTTACTTGAGCTCTACGGAGCATGTTAGATTGAACCCAGAAAAGTTATATGTAAGACCACATACGAATTTGAGATAGGGAGAAAGAGAAAACGCTACTGCGGTACGATTTTCGATGATAGGGATACCAAATATCTTACAAATTGGATATGTCCTTTGAGATAGCTTTAGGAAGCATTTTTAGTTCATATTCAGTAACTACTGACTATGATTCAAATCTTTGAATTTTATGAACAATTGTTGAAACTATGGGGATGTAGAAATTTGAAAATACAGAAATTGATATTCGCAGGAACAATTTTTCATCAGAAACATGTAAAGCTGCATAAAACTGTATTGGATACTCATACTTTAACGTGATGAAGAACGTTGTTCTTGAAGTAATGCTTACATGAACCACACATATTGTAACAAAATCAAAAGCAAATCTACATCCAAACTCTCATTTAACAGTCGCATCTCCCATGTAATTCGCACAAACATTACAATCATTGGTTCTTATCAAACCCTGCACCCCCAGCGTTAGTAAACTCCAGTTCCTCCGTCAGATTTCCATACTGCGCAACCCAATAATCAACAAGATAATTCTGTCTCTGTTTCCACGGACCCCTATCGCCCGCCATGGGTAAATATCCCTTTGCTTTCTCCACGTACGTACTACTCAAATTCACCATGGGTTGAGAGACCATTTTATCGCCATGAACTTTCGGTACGGCTGATACAATATTGTTGTCTCGCATGTGTTTAAGCAATCGAACCAATACTCCCGCGGTAGTATCAGCTCCTAATGTCCATGAGGCATTTGTATACCCGATCACAGTTACTGCGTTAGGCATGTCTTGAAGCATCATGCCTTTCCACATGTACTTGGTAGAATAGTCGTAAGGGACGCCGTCGATGCTCACTTTTGCGCCACCAGCGAGTTGCATCTTAAGTCCGGTGGCTGTGATGATTATATCGGCATCGAGGCTTTTCCCTGATTCGAGTTCAATACCAGATGATGTGACGGTTTTAATGGTATCAGTTACGACAGAGGCTTTTCCCGAGTGAAGACATTTGAAAAAATCGCTGTCTGGACAGATGCATAGACGTTGTTCCCAAGGATTGTATTTGGGGCTGAAATTAGGATCGATGGGCATGGCTGATGGAATTTCCTTCTTGGTCCTTGCTCGAAGGATTTTGCAAGCGGTGCTGGGAAACTGGCGACAGAAGTGAAAGAATAGTAGTGGGAGTACGAGAAATTTCCAACGTATCAATTGGCTAGCCATCCAACTTGGAAGATATTTGCGCATGGAACTTCCAGTGCCATCTGTTGCGGGAACTCCTAGTATCCATGAAGGGCTTCGTTGTAACATTGTTATTTGGGATGCCTTGTCTGCCAGATTTGGTATCAGTGTAATTGCTGTAGCACCACTTCCAATGACGACTATTTTCTTGTCGGTGTAATCGAGATCTTGGGGCCAGAATTGAGGATGTATCCTCTTGCCCTTAAAGTTGTCTAGTCCAGCTATTTCGACTTTCAATGGCTCGCTGTAGTCATAGTAACCTGTACTCCAAATGATCCATCGTCCTTTTATAGTACTCTTTCTTCCACCGGCATTGACTGCTAATGACCATTGCTGTTGTTCCGTTGACCAGTCTGCCGACGTAACATTATGGTGAAATTGTATCTTCTTATCAATGCCATATTCCTCGGCAGATTCCCTGAAATAATTGCGGATTGATTCACCGTCAGCGATTGACTGGGAGCTCATCCATGGTCGCCATGGGAATCCAAATGTATGTAAATCTGAATCGGATCTGATGCCAGGATATCGAAATAGATCCCACGTTCCACCAATTGCTCCGCGATTCTCGAGTATAGTGTAGGTCAGGCCTGGAAGTTCTGTTTGGATACGACTGCAGAATGTTAGTTATCTGATTTGAGAATTTTGTACCCATGTACCTCCTGAATCGCTAAATAGAGTAATATGGATAAGAAATTAATGTCCAAGAATTAGGCCTTACTATGCAGCATTAATTCCTGATAAGCCAGCACCAACGATAACAATGTCGTAATCACAATTCCCGGATCTTTGGACAGAACCCATTATGCTTATTTATTTTGTTGTAAAGATTTACAGTAGGGAGGTATACACAATAGATGTTGATACTATTTTGAAAGTAAAGCTCGGTAAAAGATACAGTGGCGGTATCAGAAAAACACGAAATTGAGATGAAGAAACTGGAAGATATAAAATCGGAAGACGAGAAACTATTTGAAGTGAATGCAGGAAATAGATCAAAGATATATAGACACCGAGGCTCACTATTTAGAATGCATGAAACATTTGAAAGGAAAGAGGAAAATGATGTGATATTTGCATTTACTGTTAAGACATGCTCTCAATCTCAACAAATGATACCGAGGCCCATTTTTAGAGCATATGTCTCTCGCAAAGCTAAACAGAAGCAGGCTTAGTTGGAGCTATTGGGTGAGTATGGTGGTATGATCGGCATACGGAACGACTCAGAGATTTCCATATTCCTTGGGTAATTGTTATTGGTCTTCATCTTCATGTTTGATGTTCGAATGACGATGCGATAAATGGTGACGTATGGGGACTGCTGAAGACCAGGTGAAAATAAGAAGATGGGAAGAGGTGAATTAAACATGAATGAAGATGAAGGGGCGAAATAGTTCCGTAACCGAGAGGTTTGCAACGAATAGAAACAAACGGAATACGATTTTAGTACACAAGCCCTTAGGTGATTACATAATTGGGCCTTGTTCTCGAGCCATGCATCAAAATGTATCTCGTAGATTTGGATACCAAACACGTGATTCAGGATCTCGAAAGTCATGGTGATTCTTCCGCCGAGGGCAATGTCACCGTCCTGGATCAATGAGATTTGAGGTGGACAACGGATCTCATCCATCTCGCTGTATCCTTGATTGTTATACGAGTGTATAACTGCGTCAAGGCAGTTCGGAGTTGTAGATTGTCCATGCTTACCACGTCGACCTGCGCATGTGATATCCTGAGAACATAAACGGATTATGGAGAAGATGGATCAAAACGATAAGGAAGTTGGGTCAAAAGTTTGACTAGCCAATACAGTGTTTTTAAATAGGAAAGGAATGCGAAAGGAATACGGAGGGAATGGGTGAAGGAAGGTAGAAAGGTTCAGAGTTATTCATCGTCAAAAGTTTGACCACCTTGCTTTGCTGTCCAAAGATAAGGTTAGGGAAGAAACTACTGATGGATAAGTAAATTCAGAACGATAGGGGAATCCAAGGCAACCTCGTTAGATAATCTTTTCATTGAACATGTTCCCTACTCGTAAACAAAGAAAGAACCACCCACTGGTTTATGATAAAATCACTTGGTGAACCTCATCTTAACACCTCAACCACTACAACCTCAGCTCACAAAAAACAGCCTCGTTTTGTATTGGCAATATCTTCTACTAGCACACAAACCCAACCAAAGACCTTTCATTCTTCATCATGGCATCGATAGCAACCAATCATGATGTCAACTGCACCCCTCTTACCTCCTTTGACAGGGTGTTCTCCCATCTATGCCCCGAGCTCCGCCAGCATGTCTTCGACTTGACCCGCTTTCACTGCACACCTCGAACGATCCACTATGACGCTCGTAAGATATGGGGATCTTCACTTCAAGTCACACTTCTGCCTTATCACGGCAGAGAGCGTTTGCCTTGGCAGAATGAGGATGCAATGGATCAACATAGATACACTATGATTCCCCGGGATCTTGATATCAGACGTCTTCCTCCTTGTTTCCACGTCTGCCGCGAAGCTCGACAGCGATGTTACAAATTTTTTACTTGGTTAAGAAATGGTGTTTGGTTCGATTGTGATCGGGAAACCCTCTTTATGTTTGATGCTTCACATTCTGACGCAATTTTATCGGCACTTGAGCTGTTACCTCCGCCACCTCCTGAGTGGGACGATGGGAAGAAGAATTGTAAAGAGCTGAATATTGGAGATCTGAAGTATCTTATTATGGATGAAGCTACTGTGGAGAGATTCATCACTAATAAGGGTGGGCCCGGCTGGCAGGATTTGTTCAGAGTGCTGATGAAAAGTTTGACTGAAGTCCAAATTATACGAACTCCGAAGTTCGAAGCACCATCGTGGGGACCACCAATACTGACTATACCGATGCCGATTGATAGAAATGATATGATTATTACTGATATATTTATAAGGTAGACTGGAGATCGACTTTGGTCAGATAAATTGGAGCACATTGGTACGGCTGTAGACAGCTAGATGAAGTAACGTATGAAAGGAAATGTAGCTTAAATGAAACTGCGAGATCTTGTGACCTATTCGGTATTCGTATAGAATGACAAGGGCAAGGATGTACGAGCTACGGAAGGCCGCCCAGCTGAGAAGCTGGGTTGTTAGAATTACAAATCAGGGGAGATTGAATGGCCTGAACACTGGTTCGAGATATGGCGATCATTCTTATGTTTTGAAATTTTGAAGTTTTAAGGAATAACTCTGGATGGTTTAATGCAATTATGAGAATGTTTACGAAATGTGAGGTTCATGTCAAGCATTTGTCCGTCAGTCAAACAATTAATAAGCAAAGTCCAGTGTATTGAGAATATCGAACTTTTTTTAATCAAGTTCAGAGGAACAACCTTTAATCAACTATATACATGGTTTGAGACGAACCCACAGGCCGAAGCTCAGGAGTCAAACATTTCGGGAGAAATTAACTAATGTATACAGATCTTTGATGCTTGAATCAATTTCCTCACATCTCAGCTAAGTGATTGCCAAGGACTAAAACTTACGCGTGGTCAATTGGGGATGGACCAGCGTCAATTGGATAGGAGAAGATGTTGTTTGGTCCCTCGGCCATCAATCCGTTTCCACCAGGTCTCATTTGGGATGCTGGAAGCAACAACTTCTTCTCAAAGGTAACCCACATAAGATCAGTCCAGATCAAAGCATCATCTTGAACAAGAATGGATGCGTATCCTTCAGGGGTGACCTTCCAGATAGCGAGTAAGTTGGTGTCGCTAACATAAACGTTTCCATCTCCATCAATGGTAGATCCACCGGTACTTGGGGTCAAGGCGAAGGGCTCGGTGAGATCACCGAGGCTGGCAGCCATGGTGGCGTTGGTCAATGCGGCATCGACGTAGGCGGTCTCGATACGGTAAAGTCCTCCATTACATGGTTGGTAGTAGAAGTAAACTCCGTCAGGGGAGACCTCAATTTGGTCGAGTCCAACAGCGAGTGTGCTACCTGCGGCTCCGTTGCCCGGAACAAGGGTGTGGTTATACATCATAGGGAAGTAGGCAACGGCGGATGGGTCGTCAACGAGAACGCGGACTCCGTCTCCAGTCGTCATGTTCAAAACGACAAGAGCACCGGAAGTGTCACTGAGATAGGCGACCTCACCGCTGGCACTGAAACGAACATCGTCAATACCGCTATTGGAAGCGATGATGCTGTCGAGGTAGTAGATCTTGTCTACGGCATCGGTGGTAAGGTTACATCCAACCAATTTGGTGGATCTGTTGACACCACTTGAACCACCATCGACCAACCAGTAACGACCATCGGGTCCGATTCTAGCACCGTCGATGCTGACGAACTGGAGACTAGGGTCGGAGCTTGGATCGCTTGCGTTGTAAGAGTTCCAGTAGACGTCTGGATACATAACCGTTGTGTTGTCGGCGAGGAGCTCTACAGTAATTGGTGGCAGAGTAGTAGAGTAACGCTGGGAAAGGAACTTGCGTCCATCGGCGGAGATGAAGATACCTTGAGTAGGTAACTCGAGCGAGTACTGAAGGGTGAGGCCTGGTGCAAGAGCTGCAGCCATCGGCACTGCTGAGAGAAGGGAAAGAGCAATAGTAGACAACATGGCGAAATTGATGGAACTGATGTTGAGCTATCGAGACTCTGGATGTATTGGAGTAGCTACAATATATACTTGACTTCACAATGATACTGTGAGAATATGCTCCATGGTGGATCGGTAAGCCGCAAACGTCATCTCAGTGCCCGGTCCAGTTTTTGTTTCTATATGCAGGGGAACTTCTAGATTGCTCGGAGCTAAAATCTTTTATTTAGCAGGTATATCTGATCCTCGTGGCGCTAGAACTTGCGCGATAACCCTCAATGTGCCAACAAATGCCATATGGTTGCAAACTACAAAGAGATTACCCTTGTTCCTTGGCATTCAACCCTTCGGAGCTGTGCGCTTTCTGGGGGTCTAGGTACGTGTTCTCGGTCCCGGTGCATAATCTTGATCATAAGCTGTGTTGATGGATCATTTCTTCTCCTTGAATAGGAAGTGCCAATTTCATAATTACATTCCAAATTGAGAAGTGACTGTCAATATCAGATCAGCCTTCATATTTTTCTGTTAATGAGTTTCCTGTAAAAGTCTACGACCTTCCATGAAGAACATGTGAGACCAGCTAACGTGAGCAAACACTGCAGAGGAACTCTCAGTATGGTAGGCTATGTATAGCCCCCACAATCAAACTAATCCGGTACTTCTCGGTGACGTGGGGCTACATGGATACTAGAAGGATCTAACCACAGGTACATAACCCCAAGCCCTTCCAATATGAGAAAGTTTCTTCATCAAGGTAATTCAAGGGTTGTAGGAGGCGTGTTCATCCCAACAGAGGGCTTACACCGAAGACCTCGGAAGGAACATCAATGTCAACTGGAGTTATGACCGTAGTTTTGATAAGTTTTGAATGGTGTTACTTGATTCAATTTTCATCCCTAGTATTAAGTACCGGTCCATGGTATGTTTTAATGCTTCATACTCACCCGGTCCCGAAGCTACTGGAAGCATAATTGAAGGTTGTTTGCAAGCCCTGTCAGACCCATTCTCCACTACAACTCAAATAATGAAGACAACCATCTGAATGGCTGGAGCAAGAAGTCTATGCGTAGTCTAAAAACTGGAGCAGATACCATACGAATGATTCTCCAAACGTAAAACGTATAGTATGGCAATCAAGGTGTTCTTCGGTCCCGAAACTCTTGGTGGACTATAAATCGAGTACAATCATGACAGAAGTGCTGGGCAGCACAGTGTTGATGCTTGCTTGAAAGCAAAGGATAACTGTGCGGCGGCGACGATCATTGAAGGGCACGTAAAGATATGGAGTTATCAGATCAAAATTTAGTCACAACCATCAGATAGGCTGAGGTAGTGCGGGAAAGTACCGCGGTCATCTGAAAGGAGCTAACTTCTCTTTGATCTAAACTTACTTTAAACCCTCGAAAAAGCCTCTTGTGAATAACTCATATTGAACCTAATCCGTCGTTAAGTAGCCGTACATCTTCGCATTCCTGAAAAACTGATAGAAGTTTATGTTGATCATCAAATGCCCTTTCATTAGAACAGAATTTCTTAATCTTATATGATTCGTAGAACCTTCGACCCTCAATGCGACAATGGTATTGTTGCGTCCTTCGATGGATCTAAATACCTTTGTCATGTTTGACCAATCTGTGCTCACTCTTAAAAAGAATGTGTCCAATTCTCACAGTTCGATCATTCTCAGTCCACGCATGCCCCGTTGGTCTTTGGATCTTTGAAAACTATCACGGATGTTACCCCAGCTACTTTTTCATTCGAAGAACATCTAAGAAAATTTATCTCAAATCCTTAGGGAAGAGACAGGATACGACAGGGTATCCAATAGTCCGGGCTGCAGGCCTATAATCAAGAACTTTGGAGTATTCAATCCCCTTTAAAAAATGAAATAATTTCATATGATGAAATATTCCCAATTTTTAGATGAATGTGAAAGAATAAATATACAAAATTGATGATGGTGTCTCCAGAATCTCAAAACTCAAATCGTGAAATGGACTTGCAGTCCGGACTATTGAAAAACACTGGAATAGAAAAGTTAAGTAGCCGCGATAAAAGCCATCTGCAGACACTTCATTGACAGAGTCGTGATAACCTGTGCCCTGTAAATGTATATTGCGACGAGGCGAGATGTATTGAGGTAAGCTCGCAAGGTGCATCAAAACATTTACTTTGAAAAGAGTCGAGATAGCTGCAAATAGCTACCTAGTCTTCTTAACTTGGAAGCTTCGTTTAGTTTCGGTAAAGTATTTTTCCATGTAAGTTTTAATTTTATTCCGATGTTAAGCCATGACTTCCTTCATTCGTGGTGTGTCTCTAGAAATAGCTGCGGTAATCTTCACTTCCTCGCCAGACAGTGAAGGGCTCGCTCGTCAATTCCTGTTTCGTACGTGAGTGTGAGTTAATGACAGCATTCAAATTCACTTAGAATGATGATTTAACATTGAGTCTGAAGTTCTGAGCGTTGTTATGGGCATTAGTTGAAGATGCTCTGGCTGGTGGCGAACCAATGAATGAAAGGAAAGTCTTCCGAGATGGAGTTCGTGTTTGTCCACTGGGTCACGTGCCAGTATCTCATCAAAGTTCAACTCCGAATTTCTAGTCTTGCAGTACATCACTCATCTTGAAGCATACTACGCCAGTCGAATGAAGGATCAAGATTGACTCGAGCTCTCTACACTGTGAATATTTCTAGTGTCAGTCGAAATCGCATGATATGGTCATGCCCACGAAACCTGACCGCTTAGGCACGAACAGTTCGTTCTACCCTATCGGCAAAGTTTCCCAGCTTCACCTCTCCACTATTTTCGGATTCCTTTGAAGAGTTCCTGACTAGCTACTATGTCGATAAGGTAAGTTAAGCTTATATCAAACACAGAAGATATTTTTCTTATCCTCAAAAATATCCACAGTAGTTCCTTATCGTTCGAAAAAGAAATGCGAGCAGGCAGGTTGTCCGCAATATCAAATTATCAATGTTGCGTTTTTATCTAGATTTTCTAATATTTTGTGGAAACAGTAGGTGATGGTGTAACAGCTGAAGATAAGTACATTGCTATATTAACCTCTATTTCCTTCTCACATAGTTGTGTCTTGGGTCCTTTCACTTATACTCTAATATTAAACCCCTCCATTAGTCTACCATTTTTCAATATACCTTCATAACCTCATAATTCTCTTGATCTCGAAGAAATGACCATTTCTTCCTCCTGCAAGCCATGGCTTCTCAAATGCTCAACGATGCCCCCAAGATATATACAGGCATCCATCATTATATCAATTGGTGGTATTTTATTTGGCCTTGATACGGGGACTATTGGTCCCCTGACAGTGATGCCTCAATTCGACG